TCACAAAGAGAAGCTACAAAAGTTTCCAATTACTGGCATGTATTCTTACCTCAACCTTGGTCCCTGCTTGGCTGTGTTTGCTATTTATTAAGCAGGAATCTTTTCTCTTTGCAGGGAGCCTGAGTTTGTATTTTACGATGGATTGAAATTCACCATGTATGCCTACAAGTAAGTCATCCACTGTCTTCTCCTGTCCTTGTCGATTAGCAAGTACTTAGCAGCTTACATTTAGAAACACCCATTTTTCTACTCTGGAAGATTACCCGTCCACACCATCTGATAATTCCAAGCAGTTCTGTGAGGAAACTGTTCATTGTTCTTGCACAACTATGTTAAATAAAATGGAGCTCCACTGTTTGATGTTGATTGATTTGCTTTTCCACCATATACACCTGCAGATACAGACACAGGTTGAACACAGTCTGTGTCTGTTGACAGACGGCAAATTAGGAATCAGGCAAAAAAAGTTTAGAAACCTTTATTTCCATTGTGGTCCCAAAGAGCATCCCGGAAAAATAGGGAAGATTTAAGATACTCCCTTCTGTGTCAAGTTCAGCCTGATGTCTTCATAAATTTTTCCCCGAGCAGAGTTGAATACCCTCTTGTTTCTCTGCTTAATAGTGCTTAGAAATGCCAACATCGCACAGATAAAGTCCAGACACTTAACCCAGATAATTGACAGTCTTAAATTCTGATTAGATTTATTGTCTCTTTCAATCTTTCTGTCTCAGTGAAGTTTCTGCCCAGTCAGACTGGAAGCAGGTTTTTATTTTCTATTAGTTTCACTTTCCATGCAGTAAAAGTTGACATTATATCTCACTTTCTGGTGTTCGTTTATTTAGTGTGAAACCAGCTGTATTCGACTTGTTCCTGGCAGCAGGAATTGCTGGCTATCTGGGACTTGTCTACCTAGCTGTCATGGTAAGTTTCTCATATGTTTCGTCAAGTTCATAAATGTATTGCATGGCTTAACTGGCCATGCCAGATTCTTGTATCCAGAGCTAAGGTCTTGGTCCTATCTAGTTGCATTTATATGTTGGCAAATGCTGGGAATCGACCTAATTCTAGTGAGGTTGTACAGTTGACTCTCATTTTTACGAAATCCACGGGACCCAGTGGAAATGTTGTGTCCAAAATTCATTGTAGGTGGAACACAGTGCAATGGCTTTGGTGCATTGAAGGAATAGATCCTATTGTGTATAATGCCACGTACAGCGTACATTTACATGTACTGTCCATGTACACACATGCATAATATGATTGATGTCATAAAGATCTCTCAATTATGATTAATCAAATATATTTGGGTATGTCTGGAACAAACTTCACTGAAAACATTTTTTATGTACATGTTAGATAAAAAGCAAATATATGTACGGCCTAAAAGCACCAAGCCAGGGATTTTTTAAGACTTTCGATCACCATGGTTGAGAACGAAACTAACTTAATGGAATGCACATGTTGGCCAGTGTGCACCTGCAAGAAAGTGAAGACTCATCAACTGGCAGATGACGTGAGTCCCCGTCCATGTTTTTAGTCTGTCCAACACAAATTGTGTCGTGGAGAGACATTTTTTGATGTTCGACACCAGCTGCTTGACAATGATTGATCGATAGTCTGACTTCACTCGCCCACCGCAGTGCGGCCACCTGCCCGCTAGAAGGTCGCTGAAGAATGATGACATGAGGGAATCTTGTGATTGGATAGTTACATATATCTTGCGAAATGTACGTCATGTCAGCACACAATCTCATTGGCAGCTGTGCTAGTTCTTTTAGCAGCAATATGAATAAATCAGTGTTGGGCGATTAGTCGGGCTCTTGAGAAGCGAGAATAGTTAAGCGAACATAGTTTGGGTGTATTGTTATCGGAATTGGGAAGGGATTTTTTATTCTGGCGTTGCTATGACCAGTGTGAAAAAAATCATTAATTTTTTGAATCGTGTACTACGTTAGTCATGATGACAGGAAACAGGTGAACAGTGTCCGTATATCGCATTGTAAGTGTGCGTGATGCATCTAGAGGGGCGGGTGATAAACATCATATGCTGCGGCAAGAAATTTTGTGGAAACACGCTCACTTCAAGTACGAGCTGTGCAACATCAAATTAAATTCATGAACACAGAAAATACAAACATAGACATGAGATCAATTTCTGTGAATGAACTTGGAAAAGTTTTGTAACGGCAGTGTTTTTCAACTTGCAACTGTAGAGCTGCATTCGTATAGGATGTGGTGCAACGTACGATGCTAGTTTGGCTGGGATACTTAAACTGGTTCCATCATGCCTTCTTAGGCAATGGTTTGGCACCATGGGAACCAGTGCAGCATTGAATCAATTGCATTGCGTACATGTTTTCACCACCGCAATTTGTTAACGCTCGTTATAAATGGGTCATCAACAATGGTTTTTCAGGTAACAGTCACAAAAACCTTTCATTGTAACAGGAATTTCGTACAATGTAATTTCGCTGTAGCAGATTTTCTCCCCATAGATATGTGTTTGTTATAACCAGAATTTTGTTATACCCAATTTCGTAATATTACTAACGTGAGTCGACTGTACCAGTTTTTATACCAGTCCTCCGTTTTCCTCACTTGCTGTCATTAGCAGACTCAATAGCACCCTCTAGAGTTCATCTGTGGAGTCCACTGAGCACTTTATTATATTCTGCTCTGCGACCAGAAACAGTATCTAGACAGGCCAGTTTAACACTGCCTTTGTTCTGTCTGTCATTCAGCACTTCTCAACGTTCATGGCCTTTGTCAAGCGGTTCTCAGTCCCATCCACAAAGCACAAGGAATCGTGAAGGCAGTCAGACACAGGAAAGATACCATCATTGCAAGTTGTACAGCAACAAACTGCCTGTTTATCAGTGGTATTGTCCTGTTTAAGGACGGGTTTTTATACGAGTGAGCGTCATTTTCATAAGTTAATGTTTTTGTATGTGTTGTGTAGAAATTTCAGAAAGGGCTAAAGACGGAGAGGGGGCGGGTCTGAAAAGTTAGGGGAGGCATCCTAAAAGTACATTACGTGTACCTATGTGAGAGCGGGATTGTTCTTAAGATTTTGGATGCTGAGGACAATTCTAGTCAATTCAGACTGACACCCAAGGCCTGGTTGCCTTACCCATAAAGGTTTTCAGTATGGAGTCAAGGGATTTGACAAATATGTCCATGCTGTAACTTCCTGTAGTCATGTGTCTCACAGTGTGCTCTGGAGGTGCACTTTTATGTTGTTTTTCTGTCATTTAATATCTCACCAGCCTACTAATCCAGTACTTACCAAATACTGTTGACAGTCATGACCTTTGATTGGTTGACAGGCAGAAGCCCTTGGCCAGTAAGCTTTCAGTTTTTCCATCTTGACAGATTTCTCACAAAGACTTATCTTCACACAGTGTATATGTATGTTTGTCCTTCACCCTTTAGCAGTGCACTTAGTAGAGAGTGCCGTAAAAATGCCTGATTTAGTCTTTACATTACTTTTTAGAAGAAGAAGAGCCCAAACTCCAGCATTCATTACTTTCACAACAAGGGTAATTTTGAGTTAATATTTTGTGGTAATGATCTATCAATTTTATCCTGTTGTGACTTCAAATCAAAGAGATGATGTGCAATTACTTTGAATTTATTTTACTGGATGCTAACATAAAATTAGCCATGAAATGTTGGAAATTATCGGAACGTGGAAATTTGTTGATTGACATGTTTGCTGAACAGGTGGTGCTACTACTGATTTTTTTTATTTTAATCCTTAGCTTTACTTTGTTTGGCCAGCAGGGGGTGCCATTGGTATTGTAGCATGCCCCATGGTAATGAACTGTACTGGTTCCCAGCCCACCATTTGAATGATTAATATCTAGAAAACAGGAACGACAACTTCAGCTGAGACTATGCATATGCACAACTATTCTAGCTTCATCTGCTCTTATTTGAGATTAATTTAATAGAATGATTACACATCGAAAATGACCAACTTGCTGCTTCCCCAGAATGTGTCCCCTGATACATCAGGCAGAAATTATAGTGTTGAATGTTCTCATCACTGCTCAAAAGAATGTAGAAACTAAGTTTTATTTGAGGAGAATTGGAATGAGGGAGTTTGTGTCAGATCATGACCTTTGTTTTTCATATCTTAATTATCGAAATGCATTTGACAGGAGCCAGAACATGCTCACTGAAATTTTGTATTCTCGGTCTTCAAAAAACAAAAACCATTCGTATTTTGCCGTACTCTTGTACCAGTTTCGTTTTCATACCCCAGGTAGTGTTTTTTGGTTCAGCAGACTGTTGACAGAATGTGGAATGTTTGGGCGGGCATGATTGTGTCTTAGTTTAAATTGTTTAATACTGCCAACGTCATCAGTGTCAGAATACCATCCTTATCAAATTGTCAGCAGAGCCTCCATGAACTTTTTCCTTATGCAATAATTTGTGATAATTGCTGTAAAGACTCCTGACAAGAGCAAAGAGAAGAAGGTGGTTGAATGGTTACGCGTGCTGACCGCAAAACCGAATGAAGACATGCAGATAATTATGGTCCTACATTATCTGTTTGCAGTCATGAATAAAATGTCTGAATATTATCGGAAATGAATTTGTCAGGTTGAGCAGCAGTTTGACCGTTATTCTTGATTTGGGAGTTACTGGGAAATGTTATACTCTGAAGCAATATTTTGCCAACTGCCAAAGTGTGAAGGCAACCCGTTACAAGAAAAGGACTTGGACCTCAAGGTTACTTACCAAAACAATCAACGCGTAGAACAGGACCCAAGTTTCTGTTTCAGATAATGATCGTCTAAACCTAGGAAACAAGAGGTCTTCAAAAATACAATAACCTTAGAATGGGCACTGAAGGTCAAACTTAATCATTTAAAGTTCACATATAGTACTAAACAAAATTAAGGAACACTTTTTTCTTGTAATTTTTTCCAAGCAGTGAGTGGGGTCTAGTTCTTTCATTTTTTGTTTGTCTAGATGGTGTTCTCATTGGAATAAAAATTTTTTTTAAATGTTTCAAAACATCAAATACCCATTTTGAGCAGTAAAATGTCTCATAAAAAATATACACAAAATAAAAAGTGGTCCTTAATGTTTTTGAGTTGTGTATATTTAGGTATTAGGCAAAACTTTAAAAATCTGATCGTTACTAATGGTCCAGTTTGTAAGACGGCAGCGTAAAAGGTAAACGGGATTCAAGAGCTTATGATGCAAACGGCCAGTTACTGTTATGCATTTCGACTTGGAAAATGATTGTGGAATGAACTTTTCTGACCCATCTGCGACCGTGAACGAAAATTTGGCGGTCGGCCTTGGGTGGCAACCTTCACCGCTTTTCTGATCTTAAATCGCTGAAATTTAATGCAGTGAGAAGGAGCTCGGCATTGGAAATAGCTGACATTCATGGCTTGCGGAAAGGACAAAATTATTTCCAAGGGAATTCACACATTCAAGTTGTCCTTCAAGTAAAAAGTACTCGATTACATCTACGACTTAGATATAAAAATATAAACCTCGTCAGAGGGGCACTGGTGCAAACACAGGTTCACAGACTCGGGCATGAATTGATTATTCTTCATATTTAGTTTCGCCATCATGAACATTTTTTTCTGATAAGAAAATGCGATAAGACCAGATTTCACTTCATGTATTTCACTTTGTCAACCTAATTCCCCCCTCCAAATTCTACCCCACCCCGCTTCGTGTTTTGGGTTTACACAAAGGACAAATCATTTGGTATCATTGAATCTACGTCTTATTATTAAAGGAATCAGTATAGGTCTATTCATTATATCCATTGAGTGAAGGCTAAGCTGTCAGTTGGACTAGTGGGTGGATGAACATGGAATATCCCTTGCCTAATCCTACAATTTGAATGAATTCAACCTGCGCAAAATGATATTCACTGTAGTACGGAATGGAAATCAAGAGCGCGTTAGGCCTAGAAAAAAATAGCAAAGAGAAGACACTGAATTTGGGCAGTAAGATCATGAGTTAAGTACATGTATCTTTGCCTCGTTTGCCGCGGTATTTTTGTCTCATCTGTCAAAAGGGTTGCCTTGGGTCCTTGGTTGATGTGCCTTGGAAAAACACTTTTAATTACATCCTTACCTTTTTGGATGGGAGGAGCATGCTAGCCCGGTACAGGGGCGGATGGATGTCGTCTTACTCTTTGAAACCGTGACACAATGTTTCTGGGATGTTCTGAAGAAAAACGGGATATTCTCGTACTTTTCCCCTAAGTGTTCAGTCAGTCTTTCTGATCTAGTCCTATCTTCGTCGACTCTTCCATCCTTCTTTTTAGTACCCTCTTCCCGTCACATCGCCACGCCCCACCCAATATTCACTAAGCGACTCCCAGCAATACAGACATACCCTCGATATCCTATGCAAATTTACATGGATATTCCCTTACATGCACAGCAGGCGAGGCCGTGCCCTGCCGTCTACTAGTCGGTTTCCTCCATAAGCCTTCCACGCCCGTCTTCCAGGCTAATGCGACACCTGTCGTCCCCTCGTCCTCACGACGAGGATCCTTGAATTAATAACAAGATCGTCGCTAACCGGGGTTTGTGCTTGACCATGGTTGACCCGGGGCTAACCCTCCCCGTCAGAACCCAGGCTCCCAACAGCGAGCAGTACCGAGCCAGCAAGGCGAGACACACGGCCAGCCATCTGACAGGTGGCATCTTACTCGACCTATAAAAAGCCCCGTACGTGTTGCAACTGCTCGTTACTGGAGCTGCTCAACTCTTGCACGTGTTCTTGTAAGACCACAGGACCATCACCGCATTCGTGTTAAGACTATTTCACTCGCAACGCCGGTTATATTTGCACGAGCAGTTGGGTCTTAACAGTAAGCACGTGGCCTGAACTTCCTTCCGGAGATTGGTGAGCATAAGTTTGATCGTGCACACGTAGTGTTCAGTCACTTGTAACGCTGCTGGACATGTTCTGGGTTGGCTAAGCAAACGAAGAAAATTTGAGTTATCGAGCCTGTCGGTTTTTGAGGAAATTTTCCATTCCTCTTATCTCTCCCTAAATGTCATTGGCTTCGACGAGGACCAAGATGACTGCTCTTCACGTCTTGAGTGTCTTCAAGCAAAACTTGATGTTCTTGCAGTTCTTGCCTATCTGGGTTTGTTTCTTAACAGTCGGGATCGTCACAGGACTGAATACACGTATTTCGGTAGATGGGTAAGTTTTGTAGTGAATTGAATTTGAAGTGAGTGAAAAATTCAAAGTACTGCTTCGATTAGATACCCTCCAAATTTTGACAAAGTAACTCAAATTTGCAGTTTACGCTACATTTTAAAGCCTTATTTTATGCCGTAAGTATATGTTTCCTAGACTTAAAATCGATTTAAAAGCAAAGGAATCGAGTGCACGTGACACTGGTCTGTTAATGGTGGATGGTAGGGCTACCCTTATTTTGTAATGGGTCCCACATGATTTAAAACAAATGAGATCCATTCGTACATGTCAGTTCACAAGGTAAGTGCGTCTGGCTGGGCGTAGACACTCACTTCAAAAGGGTTGCCTTAGGTCAGTGGAAGTATTCAAATAACAACAGTGGGCCCCATCCATTTTTCTTGAGTTGCATGCATGCAACTCAAATAATGTAGGCCAGCATACTGCCATTTTGACTGCCGTCTATTCTGGGCAGTTATATGCTGAACTTTGCATAAGCCAACTAAACGCCAGAATGAGATCTGAGGGAGTTGTGTCGTGTAGCCTTCAGAAGTCAGGCTGCAGCGTGCGCCAGTCGTAATTGGAAGTTTTAACAGCTGTGAAGTACATCGAGGAATATAATACACACACTGTGTCAGTTGTAAATCCTAGGTAACCGGGGAGAGCCAAAAGTCATCAATCTATGTATTGACTACCAGTTCTTAACAAACTGCTGTCAACTTTGGAATTAATAAGACACCAGTGATATTTGTATTCCGCGCGTGTACAAAAAGTTCAAGTATGACAGAATTCATTTCACGTTTATAGCTGCGCCGTGATTGGCACAGCCCAACCCAGTTTCCTGTTCGCGCCTTGGTCTTTGCATATGCGAAAGTTGTCAGAGAAAGGAGGTTGAACGAGCAAACCTTGAACAGGCAAATCCATTTATAGCCAATTTAGAGGCTCCGAGTCCATGTTTATAAACGTCTTGCCTTGTGGAAGGTATGCTTGTTAATCTTGATGTAGATATGAATTACCCATCTCCCAAGGGAGCTAGCTACCAGTAACCTATTCAGCTTTGTAAGCCTTCGAGCTAGGATAAAATATAAACTGATCTGAGCCTGCAGCTGCATATAAAGTTTTTTTGGAAGGGGGTAAAAGTTAAGGGGGTTCGCTGTGTCTAATAAGAGATACATAGGAAACCCCGCCAATTTGTCACTTCGTGAGCATTTAAGCTTGGTTTTTTTGTACCCGATCCAACTACCCCGCTACCGTTAATTAATAAAGGAGGCTTTTATAGGTCCATGCAAGCATTCGGACTGTGAAAGTAATGTAGGCCTATTATTGTATTAGGCCTATGACATTGGTTCCCCTGCTAATAAGGAGGCTGAAGTCGTTAACATGTTGAAGTGAACTTTTTCTTAATTTAAAACAAAACAAACACCAAGCTCAAATTTGGGCAGTAAATTAAATAACTTTTTCAAAATTGATGCTTTCAAACAGGTGAAAGACGGCAAAAATTACCCTGTAGGATTCGAACCACAGACATCCCTTACTCTCCCTATACGCACTAACACCACGCAGTTGAGCTCGACTGTTTTCTAGTTTCTTCCGTCTTTTGCCCACGAACCCACATAATCAGGGGCGGATCCAGGATTTTTCCAAGGGGGGGAGGCGTGATCCCGGATTTTCCAATGGGGGCGTGAACGAAAGCAGCAATGTTAAAATACCTGCGAGCGTGTAGCCTGAAGCCCTTTACGGCATGGGGTCTGGGATATTTTGGATTCTTCCGTCTTTTGCCCACGAACCCACATTATCAGGGGAGATCCAGGATTTTTCCCAAAGGGGAGGGGGGTGTGATCCCGGATTTTCCAATAGGGGGCGCCTGCGAGCGTGCAGCCTGAAGCCCTTTACGGCATGGGGTCTGGGGTATTTTGGATTCTCTGTGGTGCAATCATTTCAGGCAGTATGACCTCTATTTATTCGTCTCCCTCCCTGTTTTTCTTTCTTTTTAAAAGTTATGTTTTGATTTTTTTGGTGAAGAGGGGGCGGGGGTCGTGCGGCCCCTGATTAGGATGCTGAAAAGCCGTTTCTTACTCCAAAGGTCGTTTATAATGTATTACCGGTAAGCTTTGTACTGTGGCATTTTGCCACTTTTATGAACAGTGGTGGGTCGTCGCATCGGCGCTTATTTCAATAGTCGCATGAGAATGGAGAAACCAAATTACTCGCCCTTCATTCTGGCGGTTAAGTTGGTGTTTTTTGGACGTGACCTCAATTAACCTCGTGAAATTGTGATCACTGACAAGTCTAAGGCTATTTGTTTTCAAGGTGCCCCCCCGGCTTAAAAATACAAACTTGTGACCAATGAACTTACGAACTTTCGGTGTTCCGGTTCAAGTATTCATGTAGGCGTTTACTTAAACAAAATACAGCATCTATTCATAATCTATTTCATTATTCACGGTTTAAGGCATTACCTGAGTGGCAGTTGTTATTATTAGTATTATTTATTCGGGAATTTATCAGATGTACACAATACAAAGACGGGACATGTAGGCCTATATACCTAAATAAGAGCAAGGACTATAGAATGTAAGCCATCAGCAAATGTCAAGAAAAGAAAAAGTTAACTGTGACCTAGAGGCCTTCCTTTCCAATCCTGTTGACTTTACAAAAAATAATACAGAAATATAGATCAGCAATTAAAACATCTATATATGAAAGGACCATACAATAAATAAAAATAATAAAAATTTATAAAGTTAATTAATTAATTGCGATAAGTAATAGCAACATTCACTTATACATTGCTACATGCTGCTAATTTATAGTCATCAGAAAACAGACGCGACCTGAAAGAATTCATCCATTTAGGTAGGGGTTGAGTGACAACGTCACCTTTCAAAGATTCAAGGAGTTCATTCAGAAATGAAAAAAAAAACGGTTTACTGATCTCATGGGTTTGTGTATATTGACATGTCTTGGGTTGGACAAGATGTTTAATAGCTCAAAGAGAAATAGTGAGTGATCGTTAAGCACCTGTCAGTGCTTACGTGCTCGCTGACTCGTCACATATTGTTTGTTGCTTTGGCCTTTGACAAGGATGAGATGAAGAAGTTGCTAAACGTCACAGGAACTGCACTTTATACAAACACGACCAAGGTTAATGCTGATGTTCACAGCAGAATATGTCAGGCAGAAACAGTGGCTGTACCCAGAGAGCCCTCTGTGTGTCGTGTGTATCACTGCATTCAGGTCTAAACAATTACTACAGGCCACGATATTTTGATACTATATAATGATCCATGATATGTACTGCGGTCATGTGACACGGTCCCATCAGATGCCACAGTCAGGGTTTTTTCCTAAACTATAGCTGATTACTATTTTGAATGCAGGATAACGACAAGACTAGAATCAGGATGTCTAGAAAAGAAAGTAAAACTGTTCTCGTGTTTTGAATCCAGCTTCAGCTACCATTCTGCTTAAAATCATGACCTATATGACTTGATAAATATTGCTGATCCCCAGCTCCCCAGTTCATATAGAAACACGAGTGCCTTCAGATTGTCCCGGAAATGAACCCAAGATAACCTTCACCCGGTTTTACTTACCGCCATCCATGATTGCAGTCACTGCATTGTAGTTAAAAGGTTAGAAGTTTATCTGAAGTGGGTGTGTTGTTGAAAAAAAGTCTCCACTGGTGCTGGTGTAGGGATAGCCCCACACGTAGGGGGCTGCAGTGGCTCTCTTTTAAGAGACAGATTGTAAAAGAGAGCCACTACAGCCCTACGTGTGAGGCTAATGTAGGGATAGAAAGGTACATGTACCTGTACATTGAACATGTGCCTCTTTTCCTGCTGGGGAAGCAGTCGTGGTTAAAGCTTGATTAACGAAAGGTCATCTGCTCGATGAGAGCTTTGAACAACACCACACACTACAATAAGGCTCCCTGTGGCATGACGCGAGGGCCTAAAAGGCAGGGCTTTCGGGGCGTGGTTTTCTGGAGAACGGAGGGGGTGTCGAATATGTTTGATCCCTTTATTCACCCCTGTAGCTCTTTCTTTTTCTTGTCTAAATACTGAATAGGAGAATCCACTTCGCGGTGGGGAGGGGTGTGGCGCCCCAACTCTGGCAACTATTTTTTTTCAGGTCATTCCTGTCATAAATAACGAAAAAAGCCCAAGAGTTTTATTTTCCACCTTCTGTCCAATGAATAATGTTTTAAACGTGTCTTGACTGATTTCAACAGTCGGTGACCGCGGTTTTCAAAGAGAAGCGGGAACTGTTATGACGAAAGCCTTTTAAGTCAAATATTTTTTATTGATTAACTCATCAATTTTCCTTGATACGGTCTTCGTTTTCAGGTTGGAGTGCCCACCATCAAAGATGCTTATTTCTTCTTACGAGTGTCGTAAGTGGGACGGTAGCGTCGGAAGATGCACCAAGTATGTTGAAACATTTGGATTATTAGCTGTAGGTTCCCACCAATAATCTGGCCCGTTTATTTCCGACATCAAGACTCATTGCTCGGCATCATGTTTTGCACTCTTTGCACAGGTGTTAATACTAATTACTGAAATGGTTAGTTACATTCAATAGCTAATTGGTCCTATACCCTATGCAAATGGTTGTCCCGTCACAAAACACATATTATTTAAGCCAAAAAGTTAATTAGAAACACACAAATGAGGTAAGACTGATACAGAGATGACACCGGATTCCAGAACATGTTAGGGCAACTTTTGTATATAGCTGTCACAGCCGAGAAAATATTTACCTAATAAAGGTAGATTACCAGGCAAAATCAAAATGCCAAACATCATACATGTTGCTCCCGACTGGTTTCTAACTAATTAGGCTTAGTATGTGTGCATTTGATACGAGGCGCTGGTATAAGACTTACCATATGCATTAGGAGACCGGTAGTAAGAAAACTGGAAACAGGCTAAACGTACGGTTGCAGTCCCCTCGAGAGTACGAAGGGAGAGCTCCTTCGTCTTTTCCGTTTCCTCAGAATCTGCCCAATCAATCAATGTCTTTAAATCATTCATAGTGCTGGAGCCCCTTGTTATGTCGAAAAAAAAATAGTCCCGCTGTTTGGAAACAGTATCTCCCGAAACACCTCGCTGTGGTTGCTTTATTAAAGTTGGCTATTGATGAGCTTTTTTATCTGTTTTTACCATCCTGAGTAGTTATTACACAGAGCACAGCTGCACAATGTCAATCTTGTCAGAACCCGCTGATATGAAATAACGCTCTTGTAAACCGATTACAATTATTGAACCCCCCCTTAAAACAAAACTATTTTAACGAGCAAAACTAAATCTGCTTCTGCCTCAACCTTTTAGGAAGACCTGTTGCACCGGGTACCAATTTGCAGATGGTCGCTGCGTTTCCATTGGTAAGTACAGAGACAGAATTAGTTTTGGAAAAATGGCGCGAAATCAAGAGTTCCCTGTAGCATTGAAATCTATTTGATTTGGCGCGATACATGTATTTTATTTCTGCTCATGGGACCCCTAACACCTTCTTTGACACAAAAAGATGCAAACGGTGCAGATATTCACAAGTTTTTTTATTGTTTTAAATTCTATTTTTGACAGCAGACAGGGCTGTGTGTGCAGATTCTCCTTGCGAACAGCAATGTGAAGATTATTTTGGACAAGCCCACTGCACATGTTACCCTGGATACGAGATGAATAAGGAAAAGTATCGAGTAAGGGAGCATCCATATTGCCAAGGTGAGGAAAGATTACCATCGTCGTCATTATCGATATTGTTCAAGATGAAGGCTGTCATTATAATTATGATGACTCTCGTCTTGAGTTATCACCGTTCTACGGTCGACGCACACTTTACCATAAAATAAATCCATAACACCAACGTCTTAACCATCAGCATCACCACACGACACACGACACCTGCTACACTTCCTATTACCAAGCCATCTTCACCTTCATCACCAGCGGAATCTTTATAATCATTAATTAACATCGTCATTGTAACCACAAATTTTAACTGAAATGCTTCTTTACTTGGGGTTGATTCTGGTGCCAAAACTGATAAATATCAGAGTACTGAGAAAAACTCCTAAGTCAAACTCCTAAGCAGACAAAATTCCTTGATCTGCCCCTTTCTTTTTCCTCTCACTACAGATATCAACGAGTGCAGCATCAGTAATGGCGGCTGTCTCCACTTTTGTAACAACACAGACGGCAGTTATTTTTGTTCATGTCGTCATGGTTACCGGTTAGATGCAGACTCTAAATCGTGTGTATTCCAGGAGGGTACAAACAGTACAGGTAATATAGTGGTGAATGGGATCTTAACTTGCTCTTGAAAAGAGGGAAAACGACAGGAAGAATAACTATATATTGATATTTCTTTTCATAATTTCAATTTCACATACCTTCCCCAAAATGTACTTTTAAACTGATGCATCTTCCACTGGGTATTTTTTTCCTTTGGAAATACAATATCATGTCAACTTTCCTGCCAATTATCCAGAACCTTCCCATTCGCACGCGACCATAGCTTTCTCTTCTGTCCATTGATTCCAAACGTTATAAAGCACATGTAGGTCGATTTGTTTTCCTAGCTCTTAAATTGTGGCTTGAAATTTTGAAAGAGTTTCGTATCTCGGACACATTGCAAACATGATTCGGTCGATATGGTCGTCATGTTTGCCACGTTTATCGCTAAGCTTCTTCACGCGTCCTTGTTCAACATGTCCTCATTTGATCCCTGTAACCGATGGACAGTAAATTTGAATTTCCCCGGTTCAACTCTTTTAACTTAAATTGGCCATGTTTCCATGTGGCGAGGTATTTAGTGAACAGAGTTACACAATGCTATAAGCTTAGAATCGCAAGATTTAAATGTTGGTCTATTAAAATAAAACATTTACCTTCAAATCGTCACAGAAGTATAGTTTTTTCGGACCAGTGTCCTTTCAATGCCAAAAATGGAATATAAAACAAGGCTACGCCCTCGGCGTCAGATGATTGTTTGTGTATAATTTAATTAAATTACTTCCATTGTGTTAAATTAAAATAATTGAAAGTACTGTTAATGAGCAAACGGGTGCGTTTTCAACGTGGCGGCAAAAAGCAAAGTGTGAGGCATTTTCGTTTTTGCTGTAAAATATTATATTGTTCTTGATGGAAAGGGCTATTTTCGAAATTAATCACTAAATTTACCACGATTTTAAAGAGACAAAGTTACAGCTACTGAAGATGTTTAACACGAGATAACTGAGACTTAAAAATTTGGCTTTTAAAGTGGTTCATTGATGTTAGTCTTGGTCTGGGATGGTGGTGAATTAGTTGGGTTTCAATTGTTTGAAAGGCATTGTACGTCTGAAAAAAATTCTGTACAGATCCGGTTTTTTCATTTCTTCTAAACTAATCATTGTTCGGATTTTGTCAGGTCACAAGAGAGATTTTGGAGCTGGCGATTTTTATGAGGGAGGGCGCTGTCACACCAGCTGCTCGCAACTTCAGATGTTCAAAGAAGCCATTGTGAAGGTGGAGTCAAAGGTAAGACATGGAAGAAAACTGGAGAACACTAGCAGAAAGATGGCCAACAAAGCCAGGAATCTGGTATAGTATGTAGAGGTTAAAAGATGAGGATGACGCGAACATTGATTGAATGTATGAATTGAAGGGGAAAAGAAACAAACTTCTCCAAGTAGACAGAATGAGGGAATAAAATTCAGACGCGAAGCTTTGCATTTTTGTTTTCTTGTTGCTACTTGGAGAGGCGTTGTTTTGGGTGGGGCTAACTGAGGGCGAGAATGGGCTTGTGTATGGATGGGACCATTCGATTGTGCGTAACCGTGGATTGGAGTGCGCAAAAGTAATTCGGAGTTGATTTTAAGAGGGAATATCGGAGAGTTAATTCTTTTGCCCCTTCAGATAGAGATGTCGATGGAAAAGTAATTTCACCATTTTTGGTGTTATTATACACACAGATAGGTATCCTAGAGAGCAGAATACCCCAGCCTCCAGCCCTATCCAGCGACGTACTACTCAATTATAACGACAACCAACAGACAACCCTCCAGCGTGTTAAGGGAGACAAGGGAGAACCTGGTATAGGCCTTCCCGGCCCCGCCGGATCACCGGGCCTGCCAGGTGTGCCGGGTTGTAAGGGAGAGCCAGGACCCAAGGGAGTAGCCGGCACCCACGGCCCGCCGGGAGTTACAGGAGCACCTGGTCCCCGTGGATTACCAGGGGTACAAGGACCGAAGGGAGACCTTGGAGATGTTGGTCCGAAGGGGGACGCCGGTCCGCCTGGCCCGGTTGGACCGAGAGGGTACTTGGGACAGACCGGTCCCGAAGGTCCACCGGGACCTAAAGGAGAGAAGGGATCCTGCGTGTACGGCAGAACAAGAGGCGGGGTGGCATCGAGTTTGAGAGGACCTAAGGGACAGAAGGGTGATACAGGAGAGCCTGGCCCGATGGGGTTGATGGGATCCAGGGGACTGACTGGGGAGAAGGGAAGCATTGGACCCATGGGACCCCCTGGACCACCAGGACAGCTGACAATTGGTGATGCGAACCTGACAGTGGATGAACTGAGTCAATTACAAGGGCCTAAAGGGGCTACTGGACCAAGGGTATGTTGGTTGCGCGTGCCATGCTAATAAGTTAGTCTGAACTCGATTACGCTGTTTGATGTTTTCCCCCTTGAATAAAACAAAATGTTCAAGGCTGCAAATTCGGGTAGGAAATTCAACTTTCAAAACTTTGCAACAGGAAACTTCGTGCAGGGGCATTTTGTCGTAGAAAATCCATTCATCAAGAGCGGTAGGCAGTCGGATCGAGTGCCCTCCAGTGGGAAGGGAATGTAATGTTTCCATGTACCTGTACATTCTTTGCAAGGAATGCCATCCAGAAACTCCCATTTTTGTCACTTAACCCAAAACCCCAGTGAGCAAGTACTTCATCATTATGACCCAAAATTATTCATTTCCTCTTGAGTAAAGTTACGGCAGTATGGGAGTTTAAACGTCGGTAGAGATAACGAATAACCTCATGTGTAGTTATTCACTTTTACAATATTGTCACATTTTCTTCAGGGATTCCCAGGCCCCCATGGTCAAAAGGGAGATAAGGTAAAAAGAAGTTTGGAAACTGATGTTTGTTTGATTGTTTGTTTGTTTGTTGTTTGTTATGCTGTCCTTTTACTGATGAAGTTTAGACGATCAAGCAACAACGATTTTTCTCATTCCGCTTGCTCTACAGCTCCCCATCTGTCTGTTCGTTGAACTGTCTGTCTAACGTTCTCTTCTTGTTTGTAATTCTCATCTCCCTGTTAGGCTTTGCATGAATGTTCCATATTAATTCATCTTTTTCTCAGGGAGACTCAGGATCCAGTGAGCTTCTACTCCTAATCATTGCTGAAATGAAAAAAGATATCATCAAACTCCAGAAGCGCGTCTTCAATGAAGACCACGTGATCACCTCAAGCGAACACAGTGACAGCCGCAACAGCTCGAATCCTGCTGGTGACGTCATCGGCAGGTCCAACTCTGATTTGACATTCACAAGTAGCTCTTACTTGGATGAGGGCTCTGGGAATTAAACTTTGTGCAGATTGAAAACATGCGATAGGCCCACGCTTTTCCACAAAATGTAACCTGTACGTTTGGGCGAGGTTTTGGTGTAGAGCCGCATATTTGCCTTATCTCTCTTCCCCTACCTCTCGGAAATGTCTCATTTTTATGTTAAAAGATGAATTTTTCAGATGAAAGGAAAACAAGCAAAGTATAAATAGTTCCACACGAGTAGGGCTTCAAGTAATGATGAATAATTAAGTAAACAATGGTGCTGCAAGCGCATGCTTTTAATGCGTGATATAATATGCAAAGAACAGATTTGATAAAGTTTAATTTTCCATTTCTCCGGTTTGTATATTTGATATGGTAAAAGTAGCAATTATTTAGACCGTGAATCGAATTGAAACATTGCTGCAGAAAACTCCGTGCAAACGGGCCACTACCCAAGGCGGTGCAGTGGTGTCATTCACGATGTCATTGACTGAGAAAGGTTCGAGTTATGTACGACATTAGATATCGGACCAAGCCTGGAATTGAAATGGCCCCCTCGAATTCGTTGGGATTTTTAAATACATACGTGTATGTTTAATTTTAGAATTTAATCTTCATAAATCGTTTTTGAGAGGATTCATGTGTTATAGTACAATGAGAAAAATTGTAACTTTTTTAGTAAAGAAAACTGTGAAAGCAAACAAAATACACAACTCATATTTTTTTCACGGAACACATATTTTTTTTCACAGAAAGTGGCAAAATTTCCAATTATTTTACATGAAAACGTATAAAGACATCTTTTAGTTGTTTTCTAAAAAAAGTTGGGAAATGATTTGCAACCCATGAGTAACTTGCATTCTATTTTATATTTGGAATGATATCATTGTAATAAATTCCAGCCTTGTTTCATAATTTTAAGCCGCAAAAGGTGGTAAGTACTATTTATTTTAGGCTCACTCCTAAGCCATCGAGTCTCTTGACAAATAGCATGGAAGTATTCACCCCTCTTTGCCTCATTCGAATCCAGTTTCGAATCCCGCCTTGGCCGGTGTCTGAAGTACTGAATTCACAATCATATAGATGAACTTTTGCCCTGAGTGTAGGCCTTCACCCAGAACCATCAAAATTACAAAAATTTAAAAGAAGATTGTAATAATTGGTAATCAATAACTGCATGACTTACAGTCGCTTTCACAGAACGATTGTTAGTTTATTAGTCAAGTCGTGTTGGTTATGGCCTATGCCCACATAAGAACTGACAGGCCTACAGTAATACAGTCGACTCGGTAAACAAATACGACGTCGGTGAGAGGAGTATTTTCAACACATCCAAATAAATAGAATGTCCAAGGAATTACATCTACCCACAAGAAGTTGACACTGAAAATCAGTACAAGTAATTTAATTTCAAAACGATGTATGAACTTACTTTACTCCCATTTTTTTACAATGACAGTTATTGTGTGAAAAGTGTTTTCCGCGTTGTCATATATTTCTCGGCCAGTTCCTTCAGCTCTTGATCAAAACTATTTGCTGAGCACATGACTGGAGCTTGTGTCTCTCTACAGGCTTTCGCAATCATTTCACTTGATTTCTGGCGATGGTCATCCGTCGTTAGGTGGATTATTCTAATAAACCCCCAAGTGAGCAGAGGTCAGGAACTTTTTTCACATGCAAATGTTCCTAGCGCACTTAGAGATGTACCAGCCGAACAAAAATGTGTGCACGGAGCAGTGGCGTAACGTCTACTGAGGAACACGGGGGGGCGTGCCCCCTCCTCCCTCATGCCCGTGCAAACCCAGGTGCGCCCTTCTTTCCCATGTGGTTTGAAATCTTTGAATAATTTCCGTTAGAATGCAGCAACAGCTTATTATTTTTCGTGTGGCGCCCCCTTGGAACAAATGTGTGCACCCCCAATTGCCCTGGACACCACTTGCACGAAGGGTCATCGATGGTCATCGATAGCTGAATGACAGTATGGGGAAGAAGTCTATAACTGTGAGCCTGGGTGACCTCTGGATGAGTCGGGCCAGTAACTCACGACCTCGAATGACAAACGCGGGTGGAATTTTAAAAGATAAATTGAATAAACAGGTGCATGTTACAAGTGCATGCTTGTAACATAATAGGCTATACGCAGAACAGATTTTAGGAAGAATGATTTTTCCATTCGTCTTTTTAAATAATATTTTACACAGTAGGAATTCTTTGAATCAGATTAAAACATTGCTGCCAAGAACTCGGTTTAATTAGTGCGCCACCAAAGTAATGGCGGTATCAATTTGGTCGCAAAGTAGAAGACTTTGAGAAAGCTCAGGGTGCTTTGCAACATTCGAAATCGGTCTCAGCTAACAACGGAATTTTCCTTCCTGATTTGGTGGGTGTATTTTTAATTTTAACATTTGATCACGGCAATTTGGTTTTATAATTGTTTTGTGTTTCACCAAAGTGAAGAAAAAACTTTAATATCCTTTTCTTTAGAACAAAAAACCCCGAGACCATAAAGATATTACATAAATCCTCAGTGACAGGGGCAAAAATCAAATTACATGTATTTTATTCTAAAGGGAAAAAAAGACTTTAGTTACTTCACTGAAAAAATAACCAGTAGGAAACATTTTGCAAACCATATAACTTATGTCATATCATACAGTTGAAACGTTATCTATGTAATTAAATTAAACACCATCTATTGTAATTGTTGCGAGATCATCCCTACTTTAATGTTCTTCGTTACACTTGAAGTCATTCAGTATCTCTACAAGTCGCGTATGAGCGCGATACTATTAATTAACCCCCGTTGCACCTTTGACCTAGGTAAGAATCCCCCTCTAGTCGATGTGGTGTGCTGAATTCACAATCACATGAATTAACATTTGCTGTAAGGGTGTACCACTCGTTTGTCGTATCCAATATTGAAATTAACAAGATGACTCCTCCTGCATGTGTTTGCCAGTTGGTGATCAAAGACGTCTGTACGTTTGTTTTTACACGGAATAATTATTGGTTAAATTATTAGTCAATTCATTATAAGTTATAGCCTATGTCCACATTGATAACGGGCATTCCTACGGTAATAATGTTTCAACATATCCAACTACACAAAATATCTGAGAACCTGCATCTATAGCAAGAAGATATCGATAGCGAAACTCAGTACATGTAAGTATATCAAAATGATGCATGAACTCACTTCACCTCGACTTCGTTATTATAATGATGATCATTTGAATAATGCTTTCAGGAATAATTAGTTTGAATCTTTGCAGGCTCTGTTGCCGAATATATAGTATTCATCTTTTACTTCTCACGATGGATTGGACATCCAGGCCCAAATATCTCCTTCCCTTTTGACAGATTAGAGAGTGGTATCTTGCCTTCCATCGCCTTCAGGAACTCATCTGGCTTGTAGTATACTTCTAACTGGCAGATGAGAAGTTGCTCATCAACTGTAGCCACAGCGAAGCCGTGCATTTCAATCAGTTGCCCTTCACCCACTCTGCCCTTGTACTTCCCGGTAAAGTTAGCCCAGTGACGCCAGGAAAAGACGACCTTTGGGGGTCCGGAGAAGACTTGCAACAACTCCCATGCAAAACCATCAGGAAAAGCCTCTCGGAAAACATCGTGGGAACTTTCAAATGAGTGTTGCTCGCTGTCGTATAAGTCCTTCGAGGCAGCGGACAGCAGCCAGTTGTAATTACCGATTGTTGACGACTCTTCACCGCTGAAGAATTTCTGTCCGTTCGCCTGGGCCTTGAATTTCTCTGCGTTGATGGTGGTCCAGGTTGTGTAGTCAGGGAGATGGGACGCTTCCATCTCCCATTTTTTCACCAAGTTCTCGACGATCATTTCGAGAGACCCCGGCTTGTGATTCATGGTTTTTCCTTTGAAGTACAGCAAATCTGCCTTGCAATAATCTGGCTTGTCGTTCTTCCACGGAATTGATGGATCATCCAAATCTCCTCGATCCGGGCGCATAAACCCATATTTTTCGGCCAGATCCTTCAGTTCTTGATCAATACTATTTGCTGAGGACATGACTGGATCTTCAAGTTGTGTCTTGATCTCTGTGTGTTAGTCTGTGGTTTACGAAGGTGCGTTGTATAAGGAGTTGGTATGCAGGCTTTCGCAATCATTTCACGTCTCCTCTTGCAATGATCATATTATCCATCGCTTTAAATTGTTCAAATAAAGCTTCTTGTGAGCAGAGGCCAGGAACGTTTTTCATATGTAAATTTCCCTAGTTCACTTTGACATGAACTAACCGAAAAAATGCCTGCGCGGAGGGTCTACAATGGCTCGCCATAAATAGCTGAACAGCAGCACTGTCCACTCCGATATATAAGGTCCACTGTCATCTTTGGAATACAGGCTAGGACTCACGACCTAGGTCAGGCTATTTTGACCGTACCGTGTATCAAGCTTAGTGGAGAGTGACCTCGTACTACAGTTGACGTCTTTTTTAGAATGATTGAATCTTTTGGGTTCAACGAGTGTGGCTAAAGCCGATTAACCCCTGACACAGAATTTTGTTTGAACACAACGTACCCTGTTCCAGTCCATGATGGGAGTTTGGGCCCTAGGTTGAAGATGCTGCTCCAGGATGAAAATGATATTGTGAAAGAACACTTGTTCGCCCTGGGTTGATGACCTTGTGAAATTTTGGTTGTTTCAATGTCGTACTTTGACGGGTATTTAATGGCTTACATTTAGATTTCGGGACAAATGTGACCCGGTGCATTGTGATCACAAATTGAAGTTGTTGAGGCTGTTTTGTGTAATTGCCGAGTAAAGTGAGGATGTGGGTAAAAGTCGAAAAAAAAATTGATGTGTTTGTTTCTGTATATTTTGGAAGTGTATGTATGAAAGGTTACCATCAACACACTTGTAATGTGTGCCATTTGAAAGCTTACGAAATTCTCTTTCTGACCATGTACACATCTCAAGAAGTCAATTTGGGACTTATTCCTGATTTTGATGTACCGGGTTACAAATATGGACGCCGCCAAGATATGTCAGTGGAGGAGCACTCATGAGCCATAAAATGGTAAACCGGTAACAGAGGTACATCCTGATTCATTTTTCAGCATATTAATAATTTATCTCTTTTTTACTTCCTTCGTCCCCCCCCCTTGAAGGGGAGGCCGTGATTATTGACACCATTAAGACTGTAGAAATGAAAGCACATTTTACTATCTAGCAAAAGCTAATAACACAAGAACAAGAATTAAATCGTAGCAGTCACCAGTCAGGTAAGGTATCAAGTGTGTAGCAGATGAAGAGTGACCCCACCCACAACATTGGTTTTACCCACCTTAAGACGGATCCAGAACTGGCTGGGGCCTCAGATTTTTGGTGTTGCCCGTATGAGCACCTTGAGGGGTGAGGCTAAATGTACCCACTCTTGGGAGGAAAGTTAATAAGATGGTAAGCACGTCCTTATCCAGGGACCTCCATGCCCCCCCCCCAAAAAAAACAATTGCATGCAATGCAACACATGAAAATTTGAACTGTTATGTAGTATTAAAGGGATAATTATTACGTTCTGTAAATAATGCAAGTTATATCAAGCTTTAGGCAATAATCTGTTGTTAATGAAACCATTTTCCCTTTGAAACTGGTTCTAATTACTGGACGACCCCGGGAATCAGACATTACAAAAATCGAGTAGGCCCACTTGGACATGAACCCTGTGGCGTTTTGACGCATTATTTGTACGTTTATTGGTTTGCGTCAGGTGTCCGTTAACTCTAGTGTAATAGGCCGAGTCACTCTCCCTAATTCTTGGAAAATTTTGTTACCTTGATATTTACCAGGCATTTTAATTTCATCTCAAGAACTTGTTTGTTTTTTCCTGTGGTGACTTTCCCAGCACTTTTGTGTAAATTAACCCCGCCATCCTTCTCGTTACGACGTCACAACACAAGAGGGCGCTACACTTAAAGATCAACGGGCGATATTTCCATGTCAACCTGAAATATGGCGGTTCCAAATCACAATCCGCCCCGTGGGATGGAGGGCTACGATTTAGGAGCTCTAAGCGCTGAGCAACAAGAAAAACTCAACCAATTCAAAGTATGTATATCAGTGCAACAGTATGCCTATTTTTGTAAAGATTAATGGCTTTAGATATTTTAAAAAGGATCAAGGACTATGCCGCCTTCCAACTAGTTTGCCTAGCCCTAGCCCCACTAGTGTGGCACGGACTCTCACTCCCGATCCATCCTTAGCCACACATCCGTATGCGCAATTTCGTGTCAGCGTACTGAACATTTTCGGCGCACCCACTTATCATCGTGGGTGCAATTTCTTTCGCACACGACCATGATCCTTGACCTTTCTGTTTTCTAAAAACCATTTATTGAATGATTTCACTCACGTTATTCAAGTATTTTCCAGTCTTTTTGCCTTTATCCATTCAATCTACCCGGCTCACTCTCTCAGTCGCCGTCTTTAAAATAAGATCGTTGAGCAATACGTCACTTGACCCCTCATCGTCTCAACGGCTGTTCCATGTGGTACGCCGACACGAAATTGAAATGTGTGGCTAAGGATGGATAGGGAGTGAGAGTCCGTGCCACACTAGTTTAGCTACTAGCTTGCCCACCTCCTGGACATTTGCTTCAGCTTCAACTCACACCGTGTAGGCCTACTCTAGGCCTGCCGAGTTAGCCCATTGAGAAAGGACTCAAAAGGAGTTGGAACTCTGGCACTTCAAAGTGCTCAGTGCATCGTCGCCGCCGAGTCAGACGAATAATAGAAAACATTCAAAAAAATGCCCGATTGTTGCCTGCATCTTAGTCAGACAAGCGGTACCAGTCATGACAGTATTTTAGCAATTGTTAGGCATGTTAGGGCTAGCTTCCAGACACGCCGGAACTGTAAGGTTTATACAAACCTATCTGATAGCCATGTACAAGCTCTTACATGTATAAATGCATTTTGGCGGTTTTGATTGTGCCAACTAACTCTTCCATCACAGCTGTTTGTGCAGCCAAATTTCATACATGCCTTCTTGGTGAAGTTACAGTGGGGAGGTTTATTCACCTTATATCCTCATTGAAATGGTGAAATTCTGGAGCATTTTGCCCATCCACACTACAGCAAATCAGCAGCATGTACTCTCAACAACTGTCAGATGTACGATAGCTTCACCAATCGCAACACAGCTCCTATTTTTTCCTTTTGTTTTCCTGACCCCATCTAAATGAAAGCTGAGCTGTGATTGGTTTCTGGAAGTTAGCAATTGTAGGGTTTTGCTTACAATTAAATACAAGTTATTGCTGTGAATATTTTTAATGTTGATACACTGTTCCGTTAATGGCATTATCCGTGCAGAGCGTGTAATTTTATTCTCCTCCCACCAATACATCAGTTTTCAAAGACTTGGTACAAATTTGGCTAAGACTTCTTTGAGAACTCAAAGTCACTACTCCGTCATACTCCGTATGACTTTGAGCCAATACAGTTTACTTGGTGTCGTAGCGCCATGGGTTTTTGGAATTGAACTTGATGGGTGAATGATTCACAGGTGTAACAAAGCTACTAAATCAAATTTTCCCCTGACAGCAAACCTGAGTTATACATGTAGCTCTCAAAAACGGGGTTTCAGAGCATGAGACGGAGTATTTAAAAAAAATGAGATTTTTGCTTACCAATCTCCCACCTCCACCCGCCGACAATCACTCCATTCATGCCTCTGGTGTTTATAAGATTGCGCATGCATCAAACCCACCAATGACCGTACTTGCCTCGCATCTTGGTTCAACCATTTTCAGCAGGGGGGGATTTCCAAGTCTCGCAATCTGTCACATCTACATAGCACAGCACGTCATGCGTCTTGTCCTGACAGCGGTCACGATAATGAAAACAAGTAAAGATATTAAGCCCCCACCACCAAAAATGGTCGAACCAAGATGCGGAGCAAGCAAGGTCATTGGTGGGCTCGACCAATGGGCAATCTGATAAACACCAATGGCAGGAATGGAGCGACTGTCAGCAGGTGGAAACGACAGATTGGTGAGCAAAAATCTCATTTTTTTCCAAAAATGCTCAGTCTCATGCTCTGAAATCTTGTTCACCCCCTTTTTAAGAGCTATAGATTACTCAGGTGTGCTGTCAGGAAAGTTTGGTTGAATAGCTTTGTTACACCTGTGAATCATTCACCTATCAAGTTCGATTCCAAAAATCCATAGCATTACAACACCACGTAAACTGTATTGGCTCGAAGTTAAACAGAGTAGCGAATTTGAGTTCTCAGAGTAGGCTAAGACTGGCCAACAAAATGTTGACTACTACTAGAAAGCTGAGGTCATTAGGAACAAAATGTGGTATTTCATCACAGGGAGTGATCATGAAATCTTGTAAATAATGCTTTTGTACAAAGGCCATCATAAAAATGATTCAAACTTAACACAAAATCATGTAAACAACCGGGCTACTTACATGTATTCCCAAAATAGCTCCAGAAGAAAGCATTTATTAAGGGCAATAACTGCACATGTACATCTAGGTCACACGGCGTAATGCAGGCAACTGCACAAGCATTAAATTTGATGTTGTTATGAAATCATACCAAGCACCAACAAACTTTTGAATGTTCAATTTCCTATACCTCCATACACGAAGTTTAAGGATGCAGATTACCAGTGAAAAATTGCAGCAGCAATCATAGGGTACAAAGGGGTTTTGTGACTGTGAAACAAACGATCCGTAGCAAGCGCTCACTGCGTTGTGGCTAAAATACCGGGCATGCCAAAAAGCAGTAATTGGCCAGATGTTATAGCCGGGGCCGTTCAAATTCCTTCTGTGTCCTTCCTCTATGGCATGCCAAACGTCAGTTGCCCACCGTACTGTTGGCTTTAGTAGCTTACTAGTAAGGGTAACTTACATGTATATTCATTGAGTTTGAAGACAATTCCATTCAGCTGGGGATACGCTGAAATTGAGCAAAAGGACTAGGGCCTGCCTAGTGTTTGAGCAAAAGGGCTAGGGCCTGCCTAGTGTTTGAGCAAAGGGGCTAGGGCCTGCCTAGTGTTTGAGCAAAGGGGCTAGGGCCTGCCTAGTGTTTGAGCAAAAGGACTAGGGCCTGCCTAGTGTTTGAGCAAAAGGACTAGGGCCTGCCTGGTGTTTAAGCAAAAGGACTAGGGCCCGCCTTGTGTTTGAGCAACAGGACTAGGGGCTGCCTAGTGTTTGAGCGAAAGGACTAGGGGCTGCCTAGTGTTTGAGCAAAAGGACTAGGGGCTGCCTAGTGTTTGAGCAAAAGGACTAGGGGCTGCCTAGTGTTGGAGCAAAATGACTAGGGCCCGCCTAGTGTTAGAGCAGAAGGACTAGGCCTGCCTAGTGTTAGAGCAAAGGGGCTAGGGCCTGCCTAGTGTTAGAGCAAAGGGGCTAGGGCCTGCCTAGTGTTTGAGCAAAAGGACTAGGCCTGCCTAGTGTTAGAGCAAAGGGACTAGGGCCTGCCAAGTGTTTGATCATGAGAATGATCGTAGTGGTTGGATATAGAATTCTTCCAGGACTTTAAAATGAAATTAAGGAAATGATTATTGAAAACATTAAAAATACATGAAGGGTTTATGCACGTCTGCAGCGTGTACACTATCAGGTGACTGCGCTGCATTTAATTCCAAGAGATTACACTGTACAGTGTTCATATGGTAGCCTGTGGGCCTACATCCTTAGTTTGAACTAGGAATTAGAGGAGGCTATTTTTTTCATGGCAAATAGTTGAAGTTTTCTCCAAGGAAAGCATGCATTGTAAATGCTGTTTTGTGGTTTTTGCTTTCCTTCAGATTCAAACCAGGTTAGGAAACGAGAAATTCCTTCGAGATCATCCAGAAGTTGATGTTTTGCTTGCAGGATTCCTTGGGTAAGGTGATGATACATGCAAAGCATGCATTTCTATAAAATATTTCTAACTTCTTATCTGTGCCTGCATTGGGATTGACATAGATATAAGGTCAAGGGTTTCAGGTCAAGCCGGTGTATCTGGCAAAAGACATCCATGAAATGTAGCAACAGCGAAAGTTTCCAAATAGGTTTTAGAAGGGAAAATTAAAACTTGTACATATAGCAATGTGTGATGTTTAAGTATTCTAAGACAAAGAACATGTACATGTACATTGACATCGCTATTATCATCAGAGTTACATGAACATGCATTTGGTTGAAATGCAACATCTTATGACTGGAAACTGTTGGACATCGTGAGTTGTACCATTCTTGTACAGATTCATAAGGAAATGAGAGTTTCCCGTTTCAGCCTCATCTGCAATTTTATGTACCTATTAAACCTTTATGTTGTGGGCATTCCATAATCCCTCAACTACACTGTAAGTTTACTTTTCTGTGTCCAATGCTAGCTGTCACTGACTCTTTCCTCTGAACAGTCTGCCTGGTCATGGCACAGTTCTCCATAAAAGGCAGGAATATGAGACCTGGGTTCCTTATTCAAACTGTTGGGGGCCAAGGCCTTGTCAGTATGTCACATTTTTTGGTCCCCAGCTAAAGACAATAAAAGTAATGTGTTGCCCACAACAAAGCTATTGGTGTATTGGTCTTAAAAAGTACATTAACCCTAACCCCCTAGGGTGTATGTAAATCATATTGAAATTGGAGGATTTGGGACTGTTAGGGTTAACTTTAATAGCTGCAATAGTTTACATTACCTAAAATGGGTCACTTGGGAGACATTCCCATGAGAACCTGCACAAACTTTACTGTCCCATAATTAAATTCCCTAATCTGATCTGAACCAAACTTTGTACATTTTCAATTTAGACTCTAATCTGTCATCTCTCAAAATTTGGACGGTAAAATTCGGCCTCCTTCTGGTAGCCGGGGCAATAGGGAGACATTGAAATGTCTCCCTAATGACCGATGTCTCCCTAAGGTCGAAAAATTTACCACAAAATGTCTCCCTAATGACCTATTTGTAAGAATCTTAGTAGTCAAAACATTGTGGAATACATGTAGTCTTCACAGCAAGACTCACATTTGTTAAGTGTTATGTCCAATTTCACCCAAACACTTAAGCGATGTCCTGACGCAGAGACCAGAGAACATCCGGGATTTCGCTGCCGATTGGTTCACCAAGCCCCACCTCAAAGATTTTGTCCAGGGTCAGTTGAAGCAGAGAGAGAATGCTCTACGAGAAGCCAAATTCAACAGGAAGCTTTGAAGATCAGGGAGCTCTCCACTATTAGGGGCGTTACTGGGGATAACTTCAAAATGGGAGACCAAAAGATTACATGAGACAACTGTCAGTGTTACAGCATACCGGTACCATTTGATGAATTGAAGCACAAGGCTTGCTCCAACACAACTTCAGCGAAGTAAAACTTGCACTTTATCCATAGGGTGAAGTTGGCCCACATTTGAATGAAGCCAAACACAAGAATGGACTTAAAGTGGGAGTCTGAAATCCATGGTCAATTGAGCTGAACTTGTTTACATTTAGAAATACAAAATAAAAGTATACATGTATATTGTGGTACAAGGATGGGTGGCAAAAATGGGTTTCTGTTCTAATCCTGCAGCACCACAGCTCAGTTCTCAATAGGCAGAGAAAGTTTTTAATCTTTCAAGATATCATGATTGTGGGAAGGGTTTCAAAGATTGCAGAAGGGCTATTGAGGTATTTCTACCCTTCGTCATTAAACTTGTTAACACGAAGACTTAATACATATCATTCCATGATTGTGACTTTAATTGATAGGAAATGCCGATGCCTCTTTTCTTATCCTCCCCAGCCACGCCTCTATTATAACTGGATTGTTGGGAGGGGTAGTTAAGAATATAATTAATCTAAGGTTATCATTGTCAACCATGCAGAATGATTTCATTTTCAGTGTGTGAACAGGTTGAAGAAAACTAGACCATTGTTGCAAGAATTGAAAAGCTAGATTCTGTCTCCAGTGTATCTTTACCTAGACAGGGGCAAATATACATCACACTGTGTATGTGAGAAATTCTACAGAACTGGGAAAATGTCAGTTTGCACAGATGAAGGTTTTAAGGTCACCCAAGCCTATTTCCATATACAAGTTAATTCTTGTTGCTATACTAGATCAATTTGGAAGCAATGACAACTGCTTCATCTGTAGATTCTTATAGTCATACATTGGGCTGCTATTGATGTACTGATGTTACTGAAAAGGAAACCTTTTCATGTTGGGCAGATTTGCATGCTAAGCGTCTCCATGGAACTGGAGATTCCATTCAGACAGCTTTGGCCTGTTTTACCCAGAAGCTATTCAGGTTGTTGGCAGTCAAGTGTTACAGATTGAAACATCATGCAATCTCTCCAAACTTGGTCAATTCCAACGCACATGTAATATACATGTATAAACTGAAGCGCCACAGATTGAAACTTCAGCTTCATCTCTTGTTACAAAGAATGGTTAGGTACCAATTTTATGGAGAAACGTGCTAAGCAGTTACAGGTTACCAACCCCAATGCCATATTGCTTTTTGTGTGCTCCTAAATAAAAACTGTTCGGTACCGTCTGTTTACCGGTTCCACAACGTGGGTCGTTCGTTGTACATGTTCAGGTTTATTTATGGGCCTTATATAAGAATTGCTATTGTGTGCTGTATTAACATAGACTTTGTAAAATGAGATTATCTCATAGGAAAGTGTACATATTTATTGTCAAATTTTAACTTTTACATTTGTTTGTTGTTAAGTAGTCTTAGCTAGCACATTGCCTGGCGGCAAAGTAATGACACATGTTCTACACAGTGTGTGGTTTTGGTGTGTTAAAGAATATAAGTATTTTAATCTGGAAATTTTTATCTTCAGGTTTTGTAACATGAGCTGTGGAAAGACAAAAACAAGATGCAGTGTAGTAGGAAGAAGATATTTGATGTAATATGCACCTGGTTTGAAATATTTTAAATATGCACTTTGTGGTTCGGAGTGTTTTGTACACCTTAACATAATGTTTGCACAGATGCACTTGCAACATTTGTGGCGCACAAAATGAAATGATTCCTTGTATTGTGTATTTATGGATTTAATTAGCGTCACCAATTGCGTGATAGTTTCAGTTAAAGTATTGCTTTGCTTACGGAAAAGTCTCTAGGATGAAAATTGTTTCCAATTGTCCAACTGCACGTAGTGACATGACAGTTAAATCTGGTTGCTGCATTTGATAAACGTGAAGACCTCAAAAGGGATAGATTAAAATGTTATTTTATATGATAGTAAGATTGTACCAAGTAGGCCTATTAAAGCACTGACGACAATCAAAGGAACAATAATTCCTCAAACTCCAGTTGCATAGAAAGCTGTACAGACACATTTTCAATTGAACCCCCAAGTTCATCTGAATTCCTGTTTACACAAAAGCCAGCGGCCATCCCAAGGGACCTATTTATTTCCAGACCCAAGCGCCGCTGTCAATGTCATCAGGTACATTCTGAGCATACCACCGCAGACCTATTTTTGTACATGTTAGTGGTTCCGCTTTAGCTGTGATTGTTGCAGTGCAGCAGCATTGAGTTATCGTCTAACACACACGCAGCCTAATCATTTAGCGTACAAATTAATATCACTAGCTTTGAGTTAAGCGGAATGTAAGCCTGCAAGCAGACGCAGAATCCGAAGCCGTGGCTTATGGGCGTCCACTTGCTGTCTGGAACTGATACATAAATAATGAGCTACATGTGTACACTCTTAATGTGTGTGATTATAAATACATGTACATGTATGCTCATATTGGTTAGAGAGCACTATAGTCTTTGGTATGAATGCAGGTGCAGGGGAAGCAATAGGGGTGAAGCAGCGGGGTGAATTTCATAAGAGGAGTACAGAAATATAAAATGTAAATCGTTTTACGTTTATGGATTGCACAGGTATCCGTTTTTTAGTTTTCCAAGAATTTGCATTATATTGTTGGAGCTAAGAGGCACATTTCCCCCCGTAAACTGCCATGCATTAAAAGACCATTGAAATTGAATCTCTACGCTTTAATAATTAAGCATTGGAAGAAAAGACACGTCCACAAGGACTCGCCCACTCAGTACAAGCAGGGACGTTTTAAATCATTCATTGAGTAAACAGCTTCACCTAGATGCGGTGACTTACCTGTACGTTTGTTTTCTATGATCTTTTGGGTTTGTGATACATTTTCACAGTAGCTTTAAAACCAAGATTATGAGCAAAGACAAAACAAGCTTTTAAGGCCTCGTACCTTGTCCAAAACGGGTGGATAATGGCCTACATTAATCCCCGGTGAACCCATCGTAAACTTCGAATTAATTATGATAGTTTATATACTTGTTTATCTAGTCCTGCCTCAGCAGTAGCTATTTCCGATTCATTTCCAACTGATTTTTAAATGTAGCTGTGCAAGGTGTTGAAATTGTACATATAGAAATTTTGGAATTAGAACTTTAAGGTTAACGTTCGTGATCCATTCGATACATGGTATGATTAATAATGTACCTCATAAGTGAACATTTCATTTTTGTTGAGTTTGGCTTAATGATCTGCAAACACAAATCATAGAATTCTCTCACATTTACTGACTTGTCTCATCAACGATTGGTTTGGTTTGGTGTTCTTTGTACTTGATTGTTACAATGAAATTTCTAATTGATTGTATATGAGGAGAAAACTATTTGATAAGAATAAGGAATAAAGGTTGATGACCTAGAAAGGTCCTGATTTGTGATACGTTTGTTTTGATTGCTTTAATCACAGATGAAATAGCCATGAAATAATCTTCTATTCAAAAACCCATCAGCTTGACCACTGCGCTTTGTTTCGTTTTTATAACTTGTGCATTTGTTAATTTTGTTTTATGTCAGCATGTCTGAGCACGTGTAAATGTGTTTTCGAAAAAAAAAGATTGTGAAGACCTACATGATCTAAAAGTTGCTGCCAAGCCTCAGTAGTTCAAAGGATTGTGTCAGATATCTCTCAAAATAAAACGAAGACCAAAACCTAACACAAAAATTACGAAAATTGGTTGAAAATTGGTGTGCAAGTACCGCGTCGATTGTTGACATATCACATAGAGCGTGTTAAAGATTAGCGCTGCATGGCCATCTCTACTGTGGAACTGAGCTGTAGTCCGTTAGTAAGATTAATGTCAGTTGATACAGCTGGAGAATAAATGCCAGAGGAAAAGATCAAGTCAATACTTCGATTCCAGAGAGAATTTTATTAAGATAACGAGACACGATTCTTCACTTCAATCGATTTTTTCTTGTGCATACAGAGAACAATTTGGAATTAAGCAAATACCTTAACAAACTAACTTTGATAAATAGAGTCAAGTTTCTTTGCAAATCTTGCAGTAGACACGCAATACCGTTATTTACTGGAACAGACATACAGGTCTAGAATTTAAGATTTTTAATTTTTCAAAGGTTTGCACATTTGTGGATTGAAAGACCGAAAGATTAAACGAGTTTAGATTACTCCATTAGTTAATATCAACTGAGTGAAAATTAACATACATGATGTGTACCCGAAGAGTTCGTGATAATCTACTGTATATCAAAACCTGCACAAACAAATTCGCACAATAAAAAAGGAGGTAGAACAACCGGTGACATTTTTGCTGAATACAACAAAATGAAATGGATTGTATTTACAGGACATTACGGTAATATGACTTCTTGTTTTTCAGAACTTGATTAAAATATCGGCAACGTAAAGATTGTACTACGTTAAAAAAAATTACTGAAGATTAAATTCTTAAACTGATGATGTTTCCTATGATGTTTCCGCCGCTGCCTACAGCTGAATAAAGTCCATCTTCATATTGTGCATGTTTATATTTTGATAAATAAATTGACATTAGTGGACGAGGACATAAAATTATATTGAAAACTCTTTTAATATCCTGCTTTGACCTGACATATACAAATAGACTTCCACTGAAATAGTCTACTAGCTTTACATCATTAAGACTTGCCTACAGGATGAAAACCATGCACAAAAACGACAGTTGTGTAAACCGCAACTATTACATCGGATGTTCCTTATTTGACATCATGGAGAAATTCATATCCGCTAACCTACGAGCCTTGACTGTGCGAGTGGGACATCGTAAAGGGTAAAGAAGTCTTTTCGCAGGCATCTTTTATTTTGCTAATCAGGGCGAGCCAATGACGCGTCATGACGGCACTTGACTGGTGATAAAACACGACGAGATTTTGATCTTGGTAAAAAAATGTTTCTAAGGTCATCGCGCGCGATGAAATGAAAGTGGCTCCTACAATGTACAGTACTATACGAACACAACGGAATGTTATCACAAGTTGGTTACATTGCTATTTGAAGATTCCAACGAGGAGGAAAACGCACTGCTGAAAAGGAATTATTGGAGTTGAACACACATTTTGTTTACGGTTTAGCACACCAAAGAGTGAAAACAAATTGATAAAATTGCTAAACTGTTGATTGTCAAAACCAAGAAATGTTTGCAGTCCTGGAGAAACTTTCAATTTGATTCTAAAAGTGAGCCTTACCTCGACAATATATTATTTTAGCTTTGATTTACTACTGTAACAATAAAATTGTTGGGTTCAGCATTGATATTGTCGCTGTTTATTCACTTCTTTTAACCAGTGTTACCTGCTAACTTAATCTCTTGCTTATTATGTAAATGTCATGCAAATAGTCGCAAATCAGGCTGAGCCATACCGCAGTTGATTGGCTGATGGGTTCTCTTTGAGAGCTCGGCGTCGCGTTAGCGTCTCAGACACCCAATCAGGAGCGATGACGAAGCTGCGGCGGTAGGAAGGGACGGAGAACCGGAAGAAACTGTTCTCATGAGTGTAGTCACCGAGGGATTTGGGGCGTGGCTGACGGCGGACTGTCGGGCGGAGCTCTATCTTCTGGGCGTAGTTTCTCTCTATCGGTGTTTCAGATCTCCTTCAGTGAACAAAGAGTAGAGTAGTCCGGCTTAATGCAAATTGTGTAGGTTTTGCATTAGGCTAGAAGTAAAACCCTGTTTTTATGTTGATTTTTTTTTCTTCAATTTATCATACAAGACTTTAGTACGACACATCATTGCCAATACATGTATCATCAGTCAGTTAACAGCAACTTCATCATTCCTGTTGTCATGGGCGACTCCCTTTAAAAACTTGAACATTTCTATTTCATCTTGTGTTGGTTTCTTGGGTTTTCTGTCATTTTAGATTTAAGGGGTATATTTTAACAAAGAACAGTTTTAGCAATTAACTAGATTTTTTTATTATTTGATAGACAATTTCCTTGCAAGAATAATTTCATTTTGTTTTGGAGATTGCCTAGGAATTACAATCATGCTTAAATTCTCGCTACACGATTAAAATACTTCTGATGGCATGCTATCCAAGTGTTATCCTATTTTAAATCCTCCAAGAAATTTCTTACTCGTTTATTTTCTGCTCCACTTGTCGCATCCATTCTCTGGTTGTGGCATCCATCTTGCCTTCCCGTTCGGGAACGGGCTTCCTTGGAGCTGGTGAAGGTGGCACATATATGTGAGTTGCCTGTGGTATCCTGTTCGCTTTAATACTCTTCTGCTTCTGACTTGGGCGGTTTGTGGTTCTCAAATCGTCCGGGAGGGGTGGCTGCTCGCTTCCGTTAAGCGTCTTGAGCAGGTTGAAAGCTACTTCTTTCTCTGTTGATAAAACAATGTTGGGATGTACAATGAGATTGGGTGATTTTGTTTCCAAATTCAACTCATACCCGCAACGTTCTCTTCCTTCCCTGATTATCCATTTTTTTTTCATGCGTAAGATCTACTTTTACACAGTGGCATTTAAACCAGACACAAAATTTAATAAACTCTACCCATACAAGCCTGTTCCTGCAGGGAGCAAAACAAATACAATTATTTATCTTGCTCAGGACTACATCCACGCAAGATACCTTTGATTCGTTTGAACCAGCAATCCTGCGTCAGCTATAGAGGAGAAACTGCAGTCATTTTTGGTCAGGAACCGTGTATTTTCTCCTTATTCGGTTAAACTTGACTTCTGGACCACCACAGAGCATGGATAGCAAACATGATAAGGGAAACCTGAAAACCTGATATTTCAACTTAGGGGACCTAGTTCGGACCCAACTTGGTCCACTGTGACATCGTCCGTGTAAGCTTTCCTCGGTGTTAACTTACTTGGTTGTCTCCCATCAGTTAAACGGTCACATGACCTCCAACATCTTATTCCTGTCTCCCCTACACGGTCATTGATTTGTTTTAAGATTTTTACTGCCGATGTATTTAAATTTTAATTAGCAATGAAGTAATTAAATAGAAAAGAATTCCCAACGAAGTAAGTTTGAGACATTTTCATCCTGTTGCCAAGACTGTGTTCTTACCATAATCGGTTGCTCCTTCAATCCAATGTTTCATACGTGGATGGACTAGCATCTTACGAGCAAGAACGGGTCCTGCCGTCTTTGGTCGCTAGAATAGATGGGAACAAACATAAATGGTAACGGCTCAAAAAAACTTGCCAGCAACCCATCTAACGAGCTCTAATGGTCAGCTCCATCCAGGTAGCACATATTGTCACCAGTAGGTGCAGGCCTATGACTCTGATTTTACCCAATTTTACAAAGAACAGGTTGCCCCAGATCGGGTTGCGTTCGTTTATAGTTGAATGTTTATAAGAAAATCAAATTTGACAGTAAAACCATGAGCGTTATTCCTGAATTGGTCAAATCCATTTAGGAGTAGAATTTATGGAGAACAAAATACCAAATAGTTTGCATTGACAGAACATTTGTCTGTCTTGCTGCACATAGCAGTTTTAGAATAATGATAAGAAAACGCCACTGAACTTGAAGGTGGATTACTGGGTGAATGCGCCAGCAAAGTGACAGGTTTCATTGTTGAACAAGAAATGCAATTGGCAACATATATCCTCAATGGCGCCTTTGAGACCTTTTGGCTAACGTCGACGTCGTCTCCAACTTCGGTTTTGTTTCTGAATTCGGAACCATTTTGTTAAAGCCCCCGATACTCAGACTAATGAAAAGACGTTCATATTTGGCTTCGGATCTTTGGCTTCGCCCTATCAGTCTATATTGAGTCAGAATCACCAAAGCTAAGGACAGAGCCGGACGGAGGCGCAGCTTGAAACAAGGCCATCACGTGAATATACGATGATCCTGCATGTTCACTTCAAATTGCACGCATGTTATACACGCCAAGTCACACCGTTAGCAAACAATACCTGTAGCTTCACCAGTACTGGTCTCTTGGCTTCATTCTCTCCAGCAACATCTTCCCAATCCTCCTCATTCTCCTCTTGCTCGGCGGCATCATCCGCCTGTAATCATTCATCGATAGAAAAACCACGGGAAAACACATGCTGACATTGTTAATAACAAAGAGCAAGCACACAGCGTTATACACACACACTACAAGCGAATGTGTGACTCGACGTGATGTGCCGTTGGAAAAAAACAGCATGTTGCCTACAATGACGGAGTCATAAAAGTGGCACCTCTGTGAGGACTCGGCACCCAACCCCACCCCACCCCACCCCACGTCAAGACACTGGGTTAATTACAATATTCTCGCCCGAAAACGGTGAATGAAAAGAGACTGCTGCTTTTTGTCTTTGGTGCCTCATTTGCAACATCATAACATCTCATTTGGGTGACTTTGAATAAATCACGCGCTTACTCCACTCAGAACTACGGTGTTGAAATAATTATGTGCTGTGCATGTATGACCCCCTAAGGGTAAATGATTTCCACAGGGGAATGACGTGGCTTCGGTGTTCAGAACGCACAATCTACCATGCGCACAATATCGGTTTCAAAACTGTGACTTGTGTGCCTAAGTGTCCAGTGTTTAATGAACTCAATAGCCTCAACCTTAAACAAGTCTTTTTACCTTCTCACGGTCAAAGATGGGGACAGACAATCAACCATCGAAAGAACATTTTGTAAAGACTAGATGCATAATACTGCCCAAATATTCAGCAGTACACGTATACCGGGCAAAGCGCTTGTTCGTTGTCATCATTTATATTAAAGCAATAATGAAGCACCTGGAAATTTACCGAGGCGTGAATTTTAAATTCATAAATTTGATTTTCATGAAGAATAGACTCCTCTACGTCTCTTTTGAGGATTCATTAAAAGTTGCAGTGCGTGGGATAGAAGATGAGTCATGAGAATGCAGGCACATCAGCGTACAGCTCAATGTATTTCTCTCATTTGCTCCACCGTGTATAATGTGTGAACTTTGCCATGGAGATGCACGTAAGGATGGAAACTGAATGTGCAGAGTACACTAAGCAGAGATACTTTGCTCTAACTTGCCTGGTAGAGACCATGGTCCGTGTATTCAACTGATATCTCAAACTGGTTTCATGCAAAAGTGCAAACGAACAAACAAAAATTGGCAACACATGAAATTCACAGCAATCAAATCAATTAAAACAAAGAATGAATCAATACAATAAATTCAAAATGATCACCTGGCGATGATATCGACACTTTATTAATTGCAATCATCACTTCAATCGAAACTTTAAGGTAAAAGACATCCATGAAAATATGACAATACCTTGTCAAGAAGAGGTGCTGATTTACTCCGAAGATGTTTCTCTTGAGCGAATCCAGCCGTGCGGGGTCTGCGAGCTGAGTCCGGGGGAGGTGTCGGTGGAGTGTGCACTCTCTTCACTCCGGTTAGTCCCGGAACGTTACCTACAAAAACGATGATCATGTCGAGCTGAACAAACTTGTATGTAAAAACAAATTTCTGAAATCATCACTCTCAATGTTCCCTTTCCGCTTGAAGTTTGTTCAGTGGGTTAAGACAGAACCGGAATCAACCGATCTCAAATCGTTTCAAATTTCAAGACCTGAATAATTTATTAAGGGGATAAGCACATATTTATTTTTAAGTCAGGGAGTCAACAGAAGTCAACATATGATATATATGAAACGAGTTTGTTCTAGACTATAACTTTCATTTTTTCGAACATTCCCGTCCATTTTATGGTGTATTCCTTGTACAAGTTGTCCAGAGGAATCTCCATATATGGACTTGGCACGCGCGTGGCGCGTTCTACGTGCCGCGTTGCAAGCAGATCCTTTATCAATAGGGATGGAGTATCCAAGTGCCAGAGCGGTTTATTACGCAGTGGGCATTATCAAATCTCAATGGGCTTTATCAAATGTTGATATACGGTCACGTTGTGCATAATTGAATAAGGAAACTGCCTGAGGTATTAACAACCGTGTGGAAGATAAGTGATTTTGAAATCCGATTCATGGGAATCCCATCATCACAAATGGGGAAAAATTGATAACAGTATTTCTCGAACTACACAGATGGACAGTACTCAGGCTACAGGCAAATAAGGTTTATACATGCAGCAAACCTGTTTAGACATCAGTTTACAATCGCTACTTAACAGTTACCAAATCTTGATAACTCATAAATCACATCTGCTAAGATTCTGTTGTAACCGCTGAAAACCCACTAAATTTGGTGAAGCTTATAGACTTTTTGCACTCCTTTTACCCACCTGTATGTGAAACCCACTGCTCTACCGGAGCGTCTGGTTTTCGAACTACCCTATAGCGAATCGCCTTGGATGGGTTGTGAGTCTTGGCTGGAATCCTGATAACAATCTCCTCTTCCTCATCTTGCTCCTCTTGCACATCTTCTGGGAGATCTCCATACGACTTGGACGCCTTCTTGTAGCTATTCCCGCCTGCCAGGACCCAACATACTCTACATTATAGTTTCAGCAAGATTGTGGTTTGTGCACAATAACAGTTTAAAAATGTCTTTCCTTTTTTTCTCAAGCAAACTCATTACTCTCTAAATTCTTAAGAGTGTATGACAATTCTCTCCATTCGAGTGAAAATATACTCCCTCGAATTAAAACTAACCGCCAAACAAATTTGGTTGAAAATTCTTCGCTCCAAAAGATCGAGATTTCACTTGAGTTTCCACTGGAAGGTTTTTTCCAAACCTAAATCTAGATTTAGAGTAATTTTTCACTATGAAACGTCTAGTACAACATTGTATTTCCACTTTGTCGGATTTAGTAGGGCAAAATACCCATGGAAAACATATTCCCAGATACAAGACATCCTTGAGTTTTATATGGATCAAACCATAAGGCAGACGAGAAATTTCATTTCATGCAAGGTATGAATTGGCTGTATATCGCACATCTTGAAGCAAGCTATATGCCACACATTATTTTAGAAACTTAAAGGTTGGAAAAATCAAGCGATCTTGAAATTTTCTTCTGTTGTACTTCATATCTTTAAGAGCTTTAGCTGAAATATCATAGAAGATATTGAAGCCATCTGTCGAACGCTCCTGACAAATGTAATTGTTCGTCTTTTTTCTTTGTTTTTGGCAGTGCGTGTTCTATTTTTAAGCTTGTTTTTCAATTTTTTTCTCACTTTGTGAAAAATAGAATGAATTAAATTTGAAAATGTATCATTTCCATTTAACTTTCTACCCACTGCCTCAAGGACTTAAGAAACGCCTCTCAACAGAGTGGTCCAGTTACAGTATTAAGATAAAAAGCTTAAAGTTGAACCATGCAGTCTTCAAATAACGTATTTTGCTCATGAATGTTTCAATTAAAGATAAGCTGATTTCATATCGCTTTACTATTATAGTCTAGTTTCTAAAAATCAAAACAGAATCTTTGTCAAAGGCCTTTGAGAATGATTCTGCTAAGACAGAAACGTTAGGCCCTCTTCTTTGTGTACATTTCGGGCCAATGTAATTAGCAGACACTGGACAACTTTTTGTGTGTTACATTCTAATATCTGGAAAGTTAGATTTGTTTATAAGCACACAGCATTCGAAAGCAGTAAAATTCGATGAAAAGAGAAAACGAAAAGTTGAACGAAAGGTTGCTAGGCTATGAGTTCAGAAATCAGATATTAAAGGATGTAACATGAGCAATAAAGTCTTGAAACAAGAAACATGCAAATGACAAAAACACAATAGGTTAAATTTGATCGTAGAACGTAAGAAATACCAGTAAGACTTTGATTATGGCTAAACTTCTAGCCCAATTAAAGCTTTAGTTCAATTGCAGAATACCCCGCCACCCCGCATGATCAACCTCATAGCCAGGTAAAGGTCAACTGTCACAATCTTCTCGAGGGACTTTCACCTTGTACCCACGTAACCAGTCATTCCTGGGGCTGTTTTTTAGAGTGGTGGGGTATTCTGCAATTACTTCAAAGCTTTTCAACATCAAGTTGACAAATGAAATTAATCATTGTTAACCAGGAAATATATGGTTACTGCAAGCTTCACCTATTAAAAGTGTTTAAAAAGAATAAAATCATAAACTTGGAAACAAGAATTAAGGGTTACAAAGGCAGAACCAACATGCAATTAGCCGGAAGTCATGACCTCTCTCTAAGGTCTACTTACGTTCCCTTTTCATCTGCTTCCGGTCCTGTTTTCTGACCTTTTCCAGCATCTTAACCGTCGGTTTGACAAAGCCTTTTAAAAGGTCAACCTTTGGTGCTAAAATTGGGGAAAAGTTTCATTCAAGTCAAAGGTCAACTTTAGTTTTCCCACGGCGAACACTTAAAAAGGATCACGGAAGGAAGGATGTCTGTCGGGGGTGCTATGACCGGACTGCGACTCTAACTTCAAGTTGCAAACAAACACAGTGAAATAAATTCCTGAAAAAGCTTCTCAAAATGGAATGGGAAGTTTACACGCCATATATAAATGACAGTGGTTCATACTTATCACTAACAAGCCAGCTCGTTATCCCTCTTACACATATAAGAATAAAGATTTAGCAACCCAGGATGTAGCCACAGGAGATGCACACAGTGCATTCAAGGGTGTTCAAGCAGAAATGTTCCAAATGCAGTGTCTGCGCCGAAAAAGAAAGTAGGCTACAAATGCCATTCGTAGAACTGTAGAAGTGACATCAACAGTTTTAGCGTATTGTGCCGAATGTACAACAAGAACCTTTGTCATTTTCGTTGACCTCTTCTGTGTGATTTGCACGATTCAAAGTCTTGGAATTCAAACTGATGGCTCATACACACTTGCGACACTAAGTGACATTCCGATTATCCAAGTATTCAATTGAACCAAATTGGTGGTAGGATTAATCAATTTTGCTTTATTTGTTAATTAATGCGATAATGTGATTGCTTATACCTCTGTTGTACGTGCTGAACGCCGGGGCCTTTGATCGCTTGGGTTGTTCCATTTCTTTGAGGGGATCTCTTCCGGTACGGATCATCTTGTCCATGTACTGATGTACAGCTTCAGTTACTCTCGATCTTAACATCTGCTCCTTGTCTTGTTGGACAAGATTCTTAGGCATCAAGAAGTCCTAGGTAATACAAACAAAATAGTGAAATGAAAAATAAACTGATAAGAAAGGTCGCTGATCATTTTAGGAATGTTGTCCACACATGGCCATTGTCCCTTCCCAGTTGAATTTTTTTTCAGACTGGCGAGTAAACTCAATGCTCAAGATCAGGGGTTGATCTAAGTTTGGTTCAGGAGGGAAAGTTTGTACCGAGCATGCGAGATATGGGACGCAGGGGTGCCCCCCACACACACACTCAAGTGTGTATTTGCCTTGTTCAGGGTCCCCCTATTGTTCCTCTTTTGTTTGTACTTTAACTTTTTTAGAAGACCACCCATATGTTTTGTACACAGTTGTCAATCGGGGACCCTCTGTCAGTCGGAGACCATATTGTCCTCTATTGTTCAGGGTCCCCAATTGAATGCAGAAACAAACTCACATGTCCAATCCCTATACACACTCTAGCCTATTGTTACCTAATACATTCCCCTAAATTTCTGAAAGGAATTCCTGATACATTGTATTCCGATCAAACAATGGGCAGCATAAAAGGGGGTTCTCTCCGTCCCATTTCTTGCTTCAAATGTGAGAGTTAGCTGGCTAAGATGGTTTCATCCGGTGTTTTTGCTATTTTCCTTTCTTTTCTCATTGTTGGCGGACCATGGGAGTGTTCAATTCTCCGAAGTCCCGTCGGTGAAGGTATTTGGTAGTGTACAGCTCCAGTGACGTATTACATTAAATGATTTCACTAGACTCCAGCTATCGGTGTTGTAATGGAGTTCATCACAAACGTCCTTCAAAGATCAAACATAGCCCATCAGAAATTCATTAAAAGCGACAGTTTTACGTCAGCACAAACGTTATCAAAATGAACTGTAGTATTATAAAGACCTAACTGGGCCAACAGTCAGAAGCCAAAATTTGAACTGTACACATGTAGTTGATGAAAGACCCGTCAATGATCACTTTTAATACACATCTCGAATGAATGTTAATTTTTTGGTTGAAATTATGTTTTTGTTTTCACTGTAATAATTTGAGACACAGAAAGAGTGAATCTGTGCAAAATATAATTGAGCTTATAGGAAATTTCAGCCGGGTACATGTGATAAGTATATACAATATTCTCTGGAGACTATACGACAACTATGTTGCCTAGCAACCAACAGGATCAACATCCAACACATAGGCCTGCAACTTGACGGCAGAAGGTTCTACTGTAATCCACCTGGCTGATTTTTATGAGAAGTGATAGACAACATCGATTTTGAAGAGAGAGTACATCCATCGAACAAATATCTTTGCCCCAGGGTATTTTTCCTCTGTTTTTGTCTTTTCGCGCCAGTGACAAGAGCAGACGAGATTATCGGAAATCGGTGGAGTTCGCAGGTCGACATGTCTTGCAAAGTGATGGTGATCCTGTCTACTCAACTTGCCGCGGGGAATATGGACGCAATGGACAGAAAGCGTCTCGACTACGGAAGCTGCAACATCCAGAAAGTCATCAGCGTCAAGAGATGAAAACAGGATAGCTATAAATGCTGTTAGAAGGATTGAGATAGAAGGCCCGATGCTGTGTGATTGTTAAGGGCTCAAAACGTGACAAGTAGAACGTGGAAAGTTGCACAAGTTTCACTATGCCTGCAGGAACAGCAGTGCCGCGGGCTCTGCTGCCATCTCGACATTTGAGGAGAGCTGAAACATACGAATTAAAGCATTTCTGTCCTAATTATACTCTCAAATTCTCTTTGAAAGCTAGTGCTCCTGGGAAAAATGTTTTGCAGCGGGCACAAATTTCTACTTGGGTGAAACTCAAGTTACATTCTAGTACGAAATCTTCCGGTAGAGTGCTCCGTACTTTGCTCAAGAAAAATAAACAGTCTGCAGTGTTACAGCTTTTGTTTTAAAAGTTTCTTCAGCAACGCTTGTACCGAAATCAGACCCGATATTCTTCAAGAAAAGGGGATACCAATCTACTAGGCCCCTTTCAATCCAGACATGGAATCACCTTCCCCACTATAAAAAGGCTCTAACAGATATTCGCTAGACCAATTCAAATGACTAACGCCAAACCTACGTGCTAAGGCTTTCCATTAAGCGGTGTGAGCCAGACTTACACCTTGGTGTTGTATCACTTTGAAGCCGCTGGCTCTCCCTCGAGCTTTTCGTCTTAATGCAATTGGTTTCCCAGATGAAATCATTCCATTAACACCCAACTGCATTGCTCAGAGGAAGAGTAGGGCCTAGTATTATCACCACAGGAACATTATCAGATTCAAAGGAGAATTGTTCACCATAGCAACAAGGTTATTAAAGAAAATGTGAGCATTTCATATCTGTGCGTGTAAAGAATTTTTCTTTCTCACTATTGGGGATTTTAAAACCATATAGTAAGAAAGTAATTTATTTTGTCATTAAGGTCTATGCGATATGAACACAGTTCAAAAATTCAAGTTCTGCATTTTATCATTCATAATAATTCAATAAGTATTTACAATGAGACAAACATTTCTTTAACAAAAAAAATTTTGTCAGGTTTTGCACAATGAAAAATTTGTTTCCTCGATACGTGTACTTTCATGAAGTAAACGAGACTGTGTACATAGAAAGTGGCAGCTACTGTTCTTCGATTTGCTTAACCTCTGGCGTTTGTTTTCCTCCAGCATGTGAGTTGTTTCCTTGTTTGTGGTTTCTTTTCACCAAATTCCAAACATCAATTGACTTATCCTGTGACTTACAAGTTCTGCAAATATTTTCGTAAAAGGTCTTGGTTTGTATCTCCGTTGGCAAGGTAGCCACAAAGTCAACACTGTTTCGTTTTGTCAATAGTCCGTGATGCCATGCAGTCTAGTATTGTGAGCTTTTCAAACTTTTCACATCTCAAGTGTATAACAAAGCATTCTGCGGAAAATTCATTGCAGTTTTGTGGAATTAAACCGTTAACACCTCTTATTAAGAATGTCCAGTTTTCCGTCTTGGGTCCATAAATCCTTATTAACTTGAAAGTTTCTTTACTGCGTTTGTTTTACGGGAGGGGACAGGTCTTGTAACATAAAAAACTCCCAGTAAGTTTATTGCAATCTCGACCAAAAGACTTGACAGACATACAGTTCAGTAAAATCTAAACGCGTTTGCGTTTTGTTGTCTCTTGGTATAGTGCAATATTTATTGTTACCTAGTTGTAAAGAAGAAGAAGTAATCGCAACTGAAACTGGTCATTAACAGAAAAGCCTCTGCTCCAAAATGAAGGTATAATGTACATGGCACTGGAAACAATCATCCTTGAAATCACGTGATGGTTTGAAGCAGATCCATAATGAAATGGAGGTATGTTAAATTTCTTTTGGCAACTTTAATTTGTGCTGGGGTCGTATTATCTTGATTACATTTGTGTACATGAAATGTGAATGGCAGAAGGCTTTGGTCGATATACATGTGCTGCATGCACTCAATGTACGAAATGTCACCAACAAACTCAACTGACCCCATTTTTTCTTGGAAGTCATATTTACTCTCTGACAAGCCCAGTTTTTCCAACCATTTCCTATCAATCACCCATAGGCCAACTGAACTTGTGGAACAGAATAATAGCGACGAATTCGTGTCAAATCCCAACAACGAACGAGTGGCTGATATGTAATCAATTTATAACCGACGCATTGATCAAATACACAGACTGGCTGCATGAAAATATTGGCTAAAGTCCAGTGTACTCGAGTGATTGTTACTGGGCAATTAAATCATAATGCAGTATGTTAATGAATGATATACGAGTGGTTCTCGTCAGTATTAGAAGTTATGATAGGTTTATGTCCAAACCTACTCAAAACTTTGAATTGTACCCCCCTTCATTTTACAACACGCTTTGCTCATTGAGTACAAACTATTTTTTATGTCGTGGAATTTTTAAAAGAAAAAATGGATTCTTTTCAAGTGTTAAATTCAGATTTTCAACAATGATAAATTGCTACAGAAGATATAAAATAGTGGAGGAAATTACTCTCTTTTCCTATGACTTGGTCAATTCCATCAGAGCAAGGTGCTCCAGCAATTAGGTTATAAGTTCAAAAGGAAAGTAAATAACCCGCTCAGACAATTTGTTTTCATGATCAGCATCATTATTTATAGGATAACTCTTGGTTAATTAAGTTTCCTACCGGGTGGGGATGAGGGTTATTCCTCCTGAATGCAGAAGTTGGTCTGGGCCCAGCCTGTTGATAGACTCTATTCTTACGCTTGCTGTACTCATCTCTGTAGTGGGTGTCCCCTGCAAACTTTTTGTCTGGTGGTAGGAACGGCATGACGAGTGTGGCCGCGCTTACCGACCCTGCTGAAGGGAGACTCGAAACTAGAAACTCTCTGTAGTGATTGCAGATCTGTACTATGGAAAATTCCCCAGACGCCTTGGGTGTAAACAACGACTTTCCGCTTCACACGCTTGTCCAACGTTGAATGTTTTTTCTTCACAGTTCACAGCACATGTACATGTATGTCATCCATCTCCCTCAGTCAAAACTTGTAAGACTGTGACACCACGCAGAATGATCTTTAAGTTTTCGTCGAAATTCTCATTTTTATCGTCAGAGCAGAATACTTGAGCTTTCAGCAGTCACATTCCACAGCATTTGTAGACTGTCTTCCTCTCCCGCTTCCTTTCTACAAGGAAGTTTCCGAAACGCCCACCGGCTCAGCCGCGTGTAGTTACCACCGGCTCACGCCCCTGCAATAACTTCCCCTGTCCCCGTAACACGGAAGCGTCCCCTACCGCACCGTCGTCAAGCATGGCGGAGTGTCAACGGAGCCCATGACAACAGGGGCTTTAAAGGTGTATATTGATCGTCGATACGCTCCACTTACTCCAAAGACCTCCAAATCTTTGTGCCTCGCAGTTTCCTTGCGATCGAGTATCTTATTGAAGTAACTCGAGATTCAATAAGCCTTTGCTTATAACTGAAAACACGTCTTGTTTTCCTTTGTAGGTTTTTGTTTGAGGTTTTCAGAGACTTTAATGCATAGGAGAGAGTTCATCTCCTGCAGGGGCATAACAAGGGATTTGTATAGGATCCAGGCTCGTGGAGATTAAGATTTGTCTTTAAAAACATCCACTAAATTCCCTTCGGTTGTGGGCGTGTATAAATAGATGGAGAAAAAATAGCTTGTTAAGGTATTAGTTTCTAGTACCCAAGGGCCCAATCTGCTGTTCACGATCACACAAAAGAAATCACACAGTTATGGAAATGTTGTGAGTTTCTCACTGTCAAGAAGAGTCGGTCCCATCCACAGAATCTGACACTCAACAAACTTACTGTGGAATCACGAATAGGATGGTAGCACTTTTGTTAAGGGCGTGCTAGCTGAGAGGGACAGCTATGAAAGACATCCCCATTTCATAACTTTGCTGTTTGAGATACACATCAAAGTTTGTCCAGACTTCGCGAAAATACAAGCTAGTAGGCCTGTTCGACCCTTCCCACTTTTTTTCCCAAACTCCGCAGTTTGAGGGGCCGTAAAATTTCTAATAGCAGAAATTTGAAGGCATCCAAAATGCGATTTTAGTCCGCGTAGGATAAGTGGGCCTACCGGCCTGCATGCAACCTCGTAAGATGCTTTCTATGATGAATGCGTTCCACGGTGTCAAGATACAGAGAGCAAACTTTAACTTCATTAAATCTTCTCGTTTTAGTTTGATGTCAAGCCTCCGTAAAATTATCTGTGCATTCCCAATTTATAATATTTTCTTAACGTTCCGAGAGCTTCTTTTTTTGCAAAATTTGATGGTTTCATGGAAGTGTAAACTACATGTACAGTACACAGAAACTGTTAGTACCAAACGTGCGAATTCTGGGCCTCGTAAAGTTTAGAGACGCTTCTTTCTGTATCTTTTATGCGGTGAGGGTTGAAAGGAATACCCTATTGTTGATGACGGCAATTTATGATAAAGGGAATATAAAATTACAACTTCTATCGGTTGCAAAGCAACCTATTGAATCCTACTAAATGTCTGCTACAAACACCCTTGTTTCAAACCGTACAACTGCTGCTTTTTTCACGATGTCCCCACTATGACACCGTCTCCATAGAGACGCGTCTATCAACCCTTTAAAGTGCAACTGCCTATTTTATCTTATGGTGTGAGCAAACACACAACACGCCTTTCCGACTGCATACCGCATTTTTGTATACCAATAAAAACCTGTTTATACAGCCATTTCGCACCATACCCTTATTTATTGGTCGGATTTTTACACAGCTTATCATACACAAACAATGACTTCCAATCGTGTATCTCCTTTGATCGTGTGAATATTGTTGCTAGGGTAGTATCAGAAGATCAACAGTGCGTTTATAAGGCCCAGAACGGAAATAAGTCACAATCAGAAAGTGCCGTGTTGAACGGATGTCAGAAGTCCATTAAATGATGAACTGGTTATGAATCCTATTTGCCTTTTGAGGCTTAATGGGATATAAATTGGCGAGCTGTAAGAATGACTACATTGGGACAAGTATTTTATTAACGAGGCCAGTAAAACATGAAAACAAACGAATCACTGGAACTCATTATCCATGTTCAAATTAATATTAGGTTGAACAACATAACTATTACTGAAAAGCAGTCATCTATAGTGATGAAAAAGCAACATGACGTTTATAAGCCTCTTCAAATAAATGATTAGGATTTTTATAACAGTTGGCTACGTCCGACTTCACAAAAAGTGGAAGAAATGAGTTGCATCTACGTTGATCCCAAGAGGTGCTCTTCATTGTCATGGACGATTGTAATGAATTTTGGTAGGAGCAATCGCACTTTCTCTCATCCAAACGCTACACATGCTCTGTTCACTGACACCATTAACGAGAGGGTTTTGCAGAGACTCGCCAAGCAGTATAGCTCCGTGTCCGACCAGGAGGAAATGCGGCCTCCAGCTCCACCAGCCTCGCCTTTCATTGATGGATCTGTATATTGTTAAAGCCATCCTGGTTGCAGGCTCATCATTCACAATCGCCACGCATTCAGGCTTTGGTAAGTGAAGTGAGATTTGACAGAACAAAAGCTTCTGCGTTGAGGCCTTTTTGATATTTTTTGAAGAAATACGTATCATAAAGGGAACTATTGCAGGTGATGCTTATAGGGGAATCTCAAGGAGCATACAGACTTTGAGTTTTATCATTGGCTCCCTACATAAAAGTGAGGCCAAGTTAAACATTAAAAGGTAGTACGTTTTACAAGAACCTCTTCGTTATTTAAGCAGCTGTCTTGCTTTATTGGTACCGATTTCAATACCACACTGACTTTCCAACTTTACTTTAAATAGCATTTGCTTCATTGACACAGATAGCTTGAATGGATTAATCAAGCACGTTTCTAGCGGGTATTTCGTTTGCCTGTTTGTCATACGAAGTCGTGAAGTTTACACAACTTCTGAATAAATGAACGAGGTTTACGGCGTTGTGAAAGGAGCCGACCAACTTGACTGAAATATTCATGTTGTCACTAGGTGCTTGACAATGATGAGCAGCGCGATGAATACACCAGCCGTGGGGAGGCCTGCACCTTGAATAGCTCCAGACAATGGAGTGTTGCTCTTTAGAGGAAGGCACCACAAATATTGAAGCAGATTTACCTAGTGAGTGTTTGCGGAAAGAGGACGTAGGAGCCGTCCTGCTGTGTTTCTGATTTCTTAAGTGAGTTTTCCCCGTAAACTATAGGTTAGAAATGACTCACGCCGACCCTACGAGATTGTTCAACGAGCTCAGTTCATGGGTGGAAATATAGATGTTGTTTGAGGTACGAAATGGGAAAGGTTTACGTGTCATCATAAGTCACAAGTTGCGTGAAATTCGAGGCAAGAATTCCAAAAAGCATAAAATATTTCTTAACAGAAAGTACGCCATGTTAGTTTTACAAGAATTCTTGGGCAAGGTTTTACCTCTCTTCAACTAAAGATATCTTGGATAAAGATCCAAAACAAATCAGAGATAATGTACTTCAAAAATAAATACAAAATAGGTAAGTGCATGGAACCCTGTTGGCTTTAATTGATTACTGAATGCATTCCTACTTACTACTTTAGGGTGAGGATTGTTGCTCCTGTGTCCGCAAACTGGGCCAGGAAGCAAGTTCATCATGTTGAGGTCTGGAGGACCAATGTAAGTCATGACGATTGATCCGGCTTCTTGCCCTCACGTTCCCAAGATGTCTAAACTTCAATAGGATGAACCTTGTCCTTCAGGTTTGGGATAACTGCCGCGTGACATCCACTCTCCGCGCTTCAGTGATTATTGGAGTCAATCAAATTCAGTTTAACCATTGAGCTTTTTTTATAGCTCCATGGTTTACCAAACGATGAAGACACGTGAGGGGCAGCTCTGACCATGGAGCTATGCTCTGACACAGTGTAACGACTCAAGATGTCCGGTGGGCGTCTTAATACATCTGAGCGGTGTAATTTCGGAGTAAACTAAGGAAATTTTCCTTTCAGGTGACAGTAAAGAACTTGCCGAGTTGGTGCTATATGGCCTGACCATTATGCAGTCCCAACAACCCTGTCCTATGTCCACTATAAGTTATGCACATGTAGGCTGGACTTGTTGCTGGTTGCTAGCGTTGTCGCTAGACACTTCAGAGTACACTCATCTGTGATTGAAATCACACGACGGCCCTTTCATTCACAGCTGATCTCGATCAACAGATGATTATGCACATGTAATAGTATCGACTTATTGGACCGTTCCATTTTTAAACGACAGGTTGAAAACACCTCTGTCTGTGAATGATTCATGTGTCCATCCGCAACGTCATCTTAGTTTTGACTAGCTGTATTTGCAGATATGATATAAATTAGATGGCAGTTTTTGTTGAACAAAATTGGGGAATTTTATCGGATTCCATTATTAGACACTCCCTCCTGAAAAAAATGGAGGAGGCCAACTTCAATGATAGGAACGTTCTCACAACTGTTGACTCAAAAGTTATTGTTGAAGCTATTAACTCAGGTGTCACGTTCCTGAGAAGCGTAACGATTGTAAGGTATTTACACACGTCACATCATATTTGATTTTGAACTCATACTGGGTCGTGTGCGTGCTATGTTGAGTTTATTCTGTGCATTTCTGGTACACAGCTATATTTTCTCTCGGTGGTAATTTGGCAGAAGACACTTGGTTGAAACTTTTCAAATCAAAATATGGTATCTCCGAGAGCAATGTTTTCAGGGAGATTCATGTAAATTTCTAGCAGGCCTTGTTACCTTTAGGAATGTGACAGCAAAGACGCCACCAGAGATTGTCGGAGCGTAGGTGTCTCATCTTGTCATATTTAACCGTAAAGTGTGATCTTTGTAGATATTTTGCTTTTTGAAAGAATGGAACGGCCCAACAGGGTTATGGATTAATATGCTCAAAGAAACGTTGATTGGAAAATGTTGGTCAAGGGTAACTGAAAGTGGCATAGAAAAAAAAAGGAAAAACTTACCAATTAATTTTCATTTTGTTGTATACTCCTGTCAATCTTTATGTTGGAATGCGTATCTACTACAGCTCAAAATGTCATTAAATGTCCACTGACTGACATAAGTCACGTTGAGAATCAACGTAACAGGCGTCTCAGTTGAAACACAAATGAAGCTTTTGGCGTTGGCGTTTGGCGTTTCAGTTGCAACAGAAATGTCCCACTTGAGCTGAATCTATATACATCGCATTATCGCAGAACCGCATTATCATCGGAGGGCTCTAGACGTTATTCTAACTTTGCCTTTTCTGTTAGAGAAATCAGGAAAAGGAGTCAATGTAGAGATTGTATGAGCCTTTACTCATGTTCACAGGTGGTGCTTTGATTACAGTGATGGTCATGTATCATTCATGAAACAGGAAATGTCTATGGACTACTCCGGTTATAAAATACATATTTGCAAGCGGATATTTTCCCATGATAAAACTGGCATTTTATGTCACTTGTTTATTTATTGTCAGGTAAATGGAAAATTACTCTTTTTATTTCGCAAGTTTGCTTTCTTGACAAGGTATACTAACAGCTTTCTTGGGCGAGTTGCGGATTATTTTATGGATCTGTTTCCCGCTCCCCCCCCCATACCAGGATAAGCAATTGTGTAACCTTTAAAATACATTTAGCTATAAACATCTCATTGTAGCGGTCCGGTCCTTCTGCAGTTTCGGGAGGGTGAAGATCCGTCTGCTAATTAAGGAGGATAGGAGGCGCAAAACCAGGCAAAAATGGACTTGAGGCGACTGTGGCTTGATGCCCGTCGATTTATTCCCAAGTGTCAATCAGCAATGAAATTGTAACCAAAAAGAAGCCAAGAAAAAAACCTAAAGAAAGACAGAGGACATACTATTAATGAGTAATGGCTTACATGTACATCGTAATAAACGTTACATTCGCTAGTTATGTCCATAATAAATTCACACTACGAAATTTCTCTGTACAATCATAAATTCTCTTACCCTGATGTCTAAAAGATTGCACAAATTGGTATGAACTCTAAAGCCAGCGGAAATTTAGGGCTTAGGTTATCCCACAAGGAGCCATGTTGCTGTGATTGCCAGCCCAACAAGGTGCAGGTCTCACTGAGAAAAGCCCAGAAACTTCTCAGGCCCCGCCAAAATGTAATACAATGTAAGCAGCTTCCGGCAGTAGGGCGTGGCTAAGAGATAATTTAAGTCTCTACACGGCAAGGGACGCTCATACGCATTGATCTCGTGCAAGAGACCAGCAGGCCAGAGTTCATATTCGCATCAAAAGTAATTATCTCACCGGGGAAACCCCAGATCCCTTCAACATTATCTACATGATAATATTAATAAAGATGTTACAATTTTTCAGCAGATGACAGAAAGATATGACAAAACAGAAGTTTGTCCTTTTTCTTACACACAAGATTAGGAAAAAAAGAACTACATGTAATGCTGCAAAAAAAAACTATTGTACATGTTGAATATAATTCTTAAAGATCATTAACTTACTTTGAAAGTTGTTGTTTGGGGATAAAATTCAAAAGTTGACTCAGCTTTTAAGTACATGACATGTCTTCAGTGGCGTAACTACTGGGGCATATATACTCCCTATGAAAGTCCTTGCCCCGTGTGCCTTCACTCCTTCCCCACACACTCATTTGGAAAGTACCTCACCTAGGTTCAAGCCCCATTTGCTTTCGGTGACCCTTGAAAACTTGTGTGCACAAAAGTGCCACCTCAAAAATTGTACCCCGGTTACGCTACTGCTTGTCTTACCCTTCATCTAAGAATTACGACATCTATCTAGATCTGATCTTGCGCAGACAGCCAGAGGGCTCTGGAATCATGTGGTACCGGCACCGCAACATGTGACGGAACACCTCCTTGAAGTGTGGGTGCTTGGCCCCGTAGATGATCGGGTTAACAATACCATTGAAGATGATTATAGTGGAGGTCCAGGGAATGGTATGATCGCTTGCTGGAATCATGAGGTTGATAGCAAAGGGAGCCAGGCAGGCAACGAAGGCACAGACCACGTAGAAAAGATTCTTGGTGATTTCCACCTGCCGCTTACTGAAGCTAGGTGGTGGGTTCCTGTTAAGCTGCGTGGTGCTAGGGGTGTTGGGGGAATTTGGAGTATCTTCAATTTCCGTTCCTTTGCCCTTCCCTACCATCTTCTTCATGTGGCCGGTGACGTGGCGGTAGATCTTGAAATAGCAAACCAAGAGAATGATCAGTGGAATAGGATACATGAGGACAGAGCCCAGTAAACTGAAAAGACCAGTGGTTTTGCTGGAGGTGTCTTGGGTACAAGTCTTGTACTTCTCTGAATAACCCCACCTGCCAATGCCAAGCAAAGGAAAACAGGCGACTACAGCCGGGTAACCCCAGGAGAAGACCACCATGGCTGTAATCTTCTTGGGAGTGTAAACTGACCGGTAGGTTTTAGAAGTCTTCGTGATGAGAATGAAGCGATTGATTGCAATGAGAGCCAAATTCATGACGCTACAAGCCAGGCTGGTGTAAAACAGAGCCGCCGTGATGGAGCACACAATCAGTGGTAAGGGCCAGCCGTTCATACTTAAAAGGGACAAGGTGATGAACGGAGCAGTGCTGCAAAACAGCAGGTCTGCCACAGCCAAATTGACGACGAAGACGTTGGTGCGCGTCTGGAGCTTCCTGGACAAAATGACCGCCAGAATCACCATGAAGTTCCCCGAGAAGCCGACCACCGCCACGAGGCTGTAGATGCAGCCGATTATGATCCTCTGGACGGGGTTTTCAAAGCGAAAGGTTTGGCCGTCTCCTTGCGTTGTGGTTTCCATCACTACTGAAGTCGTCATGTCTGAAGCCATGTTTCCCCCACTTGACAGCTGATCATGATCACGCATGGTGCTCACGACTGTCATGGTTTCTACCATCATTGTCACAGTCATTTCTTTTTCATTGTGATGGAAACTCATCCAGGGTCAGGAGATTGTGCTCTAGTAACTGTTGATCGGTGACAATTATTTACCTCTAGTTACGCAAGCCTTCTGAAACACAAGAAATGGAACCAATGAATTATGGAAACAGTTCTGAGTATTTTGTTTATTGGAATATTATCATACTACTTTTTGACTATGGATTAGGTTAGAAATAAGTTAAAGCATCTTAATGCAACTCTTTAAAATCTCAATCTACAACTTAAATTCAACCAGTAGAGATTAGTATGGTGTACTGTTTAAAACACACATTTTAGCGTCTCTCTAGCATCTTCCAAGGTGACGCAACTACTCGACAGGACGGCAAGATGGCTCCCTTGCGTCGTGCCGCCGCATCGCACTGTTGTCTTCTTGTCATTACGTTTGTACACATACGACGCGTTGTGCGTCATGTGGTGCGTCGCGTCGTGCTTCAGGCGACTTAATACGCGACGCACGACACGACATACGACGCAATGCACAACGGTGCAACGAGACGGGCGAAGGAAGGAGCGACGTTAAGGCAGAAAAAATGCAACAAGACAACTTGACGCGCGCGACGGAAGATGGCAGGACACGACGCGCCGCGTTGTGTGTGTACAAACGTGATGGCATAAAGGCGACAGTGTGATGCGACGGCAAAATGCAAGGGAGCGTAAAATGTCGTAAATAGTACACCATAGACTGGTGACTTGGTGGGCACATAGGTTCAAGGGCGAAGTTTAAAAACAATTTTTTTTTCTCGTCCCCGCGCTTTCTCTTTGGAGGCCGCCTGATTTTTTAAAAATTATTTTTCTTTTTGAAAAATGCAGTAAGAAAAACACATTAAAAAGCCCACAAATTCATCGGGAAATAAGTAGTGGCGAAATACAGAGTCGAAGTTTTCTGTGCAGACTCTGTCAGTCATTTTGGACACCACATAAATCGACGCACGATCGCAAAACACGTCTTGGTGAGAGTCTGGAGCACGGCGAGTTCACCGGAATCTGTCTGCACATACTGTATGTACTTTGTAGCCAGAATGTGGCCGGTATATGGGACTTAGGGGCGTCCCGAATGGGTTAGGCTTGGTTTTTGGTTTCGCTGGTTTCGGTCAGAGCCTTGCATGCATTTTGGAATGCAGTATCAAATGGCTAGAATCAGCGAAGCCGACGACTAAGGCTAATCCATTCGTTTTGAAAACACCTTGAGCTAAGACTCGAACATATATTTAAAGAATTCGCTCGCGCGGCCGTAGTCTGGTTCCCGATCCCATTTCCATCGATGCATTCAGACTTAGAAAATTGCAGAGGAGGGGCAGGGAACAGTCTAGCGCGGCCGTTGTTTTCTGTCACTCGTGCATGCATGCATGCTCATTATAAGCCTGGATTTTTTTTTTTTTTGGTTTCATCAAGTCAACAAACTTTTGTCGAAAAGGTAAAGTCTTTGTAGTAGAAAAATATAGACTTGCAAAAATAAACCGACAAAATGTAAAGAAAAAGATCGCCTCATACCTTTTTAAAGACATTTTTATTTATAGCTTGGCGTGATCACTTGTAGGTTTTGAGAGTTGACATTAGGTGTTTGATTTCATCTGTAAAATTGCTCATCAAAAATAAATTTTGACTTTTTGCAGTTAAAGCAAATGTATCTAAAACTGTTCATTGTAGACCAATACAATACTAAACGACAATGTAAATATGTTCAGTTCGTTCGTCCAACTTGTCTTTCATTTTAACATGTCTTTGAACAGCGGAAACATTAACAAGTAAATTTAAAATGGCGGCCATCTTGAAAAAACATATATAAAATGAAAAGCCCCGCTTCCTCTTTGTTTTCAAAAATCCAGACGGGGATGGGAAACTGTTGACACACAGTAGGCCTAAATTCAGAGACAGTTGCACGTATACTGTCTGTTTTTTGGAGACAAGAATTAAGGCAAAATCCTTTCAAGGGTTTGTGAGGAGTAACTCAAACCACCAAGCCCACGTTCAATTAAAATCGGAATCGGTTTCATTTTGTTTTCCCATCGTCATCGTCACCTTTTCAGTTTGAATCAAATGAATGTGAAATTCTTCGAACCAGTAGATCAGTGCCAGTGGCCGTAGATTTTAGGCTGCTGGACGTGGTTGTAAAGGCAGCGGTATTGAAGCGTTAAAAAGGGATTTGGGTTGTTTTTATTGATACAACTACAAATTACTCTCGATTACTTTCTTGCCTTTGAATGTAACCTAGGCCTATTTATCAATTCCATTTTACAGAGCAATTTACTGCCTCCATCCCTAAAGTGTCAGGCAAACTTTGAACGCCCTAAGACTTTGAATGTTGTAGAACAATCTCCATTGGTATTTATTTTGACATTAATGAAATTTACTGTAAGATAATGACTCACCAAGGTTCGCTCCAAGGAAAATTTTAACAGGCCGGCGTATGGTAGCTGGTCCATGCAAGCAGTGAGTGCTTACATTGACGACTGTTGTAGTCAGACAGAAACCTCCCTCCAGCCGCATTACACTTTTCCCTTAAAAAACTATCACAGTTTATCGGGTTGACCCATTGTGATATTTCGAGGGAAAACCCCACCGACTTCCCCGAGTGCCCCCCCCCGTCTGTGGTGACGTTTGTCAGTAAACCTACCCCTTTTTAGCAGTATAATAATACCAGGTGGAAATGATTTGGAGAGAAATTATAGCCCGGTTGTCCACTTTGGTTACATCAGGAATGCGGATGTTCTAGACACTTTCAGTTCTAGCCGTCCACAAAAGATTTATTCAGGAAGTATAAAATATAAAATTGTGGCCAGTGAGATGGCTGTAATACTAAGGCTTTGTTTGATACCAAATTACATCTCAGGCTTCCTGTTTTACAGTGAGGTTTTGGTAGCAGCCTTCGTGCATGGCTAACTGTTTCTAAATCTGCGCCATCAAGACCCTCCGGAATGCGACCATAGACATCATCCATGAGATCAGATAAGATCAATCATGAGATTCATGGAGTCGTCTGAGACAGTTTAACAGACCTTCTGACTTTTACATAGATCCAAAATATAATGCCATTTATGTTCTATTGATTCCTCTTACCAAATTCACCCGGAAACGTGAACATTTACCTTTCTATGATGCCTAGTCCAAAAGACATGTCAAACTTACAACTGATTTTCGTCGAAATCTAAGATGGCCGCCAAGATGGCTGCCAAATGAATGCAGTGAGATAATAATTATTACATCTTGTGAACCTCAAAATTCATTTACTGGATACCATAAGGATTACAAATAGTGGGTTAGAAAAATATCTCCGTTGTGTATGGAAACCCTATCTTCCTACTAAACTAATTGGACTGTTCCATTTTAATCGGCCGGATGAAAATATCCATGTTCTTGTTATTCATGTGCCCATCTGCAACATCGTCATAAGGGCAAATTCGAGCGACAACTATAGCTGACTATTGACTGACTAACAGTGCTTGAATGGTGTATGGTCATCCATGTCTAGTCGACCATTTGGGACCAGGCTCAGGGGTATGGTCGCACCGCTGGTTACCAATAACATATTTCATTTATCATTACAAAGGGAACCATTCACATGAAAATAATTGTACGAGATTTCAGTGACTTTGTTACGCTACGAGAATCGCAGCCGACGCTGAAATTTTAGTAACAATGGGATACAAAAAAATAGGCCGAATGGGGTCGTTCGAGTGTGACTTAATAGCGCATGCGCATTGTTAAAAAGCCACTGACTACTGGCCTAACTATACTTCGCGCCCGAACTTGCCCTTAGTTTCGATTAGCTCTTTTTGCAGATATTATTGAGTAGGGTCAGTAAATTCATTTGGGGGGGTGTCGCAATTCCATCGGATTGTGATCTCCCTCTGATAATTGCAGGAGGCCAACCTGAATGAGAGAAACGCTCTTCCATTATGAAGTGTTGACTAAGGGAATAAATATGTGCTTGGCCAGTCTTAAACGTGCGTTTAAGACCGGCTCAGGAGAATGGACGCAGGCGAGGGCATTATCAGCGTTCTCCTGGGTAAGGTATCTATTCCCATTCATAAATACCTTTTTTATTTAAAGAGTCAAAGAAGTCAGCATAGGTGGATTTCCAACGATTTTGTTCGAAAACTTTACGTTCATTTTCCCGAACACACCTGTCCATAAAGTTCATAAATACGTGGGACAGGTTTTCTATTCAAATTAGTCAAAATGCTTATGAATATTGATTTTGATTATGCTCGCTGAGAAGTGATAAATGCCCGCTGCGTAAATCATACGCTGGTGGTACATGGATGCGAGACACTTTCATTGGTTCTGATTGGTCAGAAGTCTGTGTGCACGTGACTTGCCACGCGCGCGCTAAGTTCATTGAAGGGGATTCTATTGGACAACTTTCACAAGTAAAATGGGCGGGAGTTTACGGGAAAATGAGAATGACACTTACGAACAAAATCATCGGAAATCCATCACATGTTGACTTCTTTTGACTCTCTGAATTAAAAGGTATTAATACACAGTCACGTGACGCATTTTGACCAATAAGAATAGAAAAACTGTTTCAGGTATTTATGAATACAAATTATTGTAGACGTTATTGGCTTTGTGGTTTTAACTCAAATGTTCCTTCAAAGTTTAAAGATTGCAAGCCATTTACACACGTCACAACATAATTTTGGTCGCGTGCGTGGTAGTAAGTTTAGTTTATATTGTTCTCTTCTGGTACATACCTTTATGTTCTGTCAGTGGTAGAAGACACTTTCGCCGAAGAGTTTTAAATTAGAAACAGTATTATCGACAGTCAACACCTTCATGGAGATTCATGTAAAGTTTTAGCAGTCCTTGTTACCTGCGCTCCAAATTCTCTGAAAATTTTTGGGGTCAAAAGATGACCCCCTTTCAGATAATATTTTACCCTTTCTGAGTCATAATTTGAGTCGGAAAAGGGTCACGCCGAATAGGACCCAATTCTGGGTCAATCTGACCTGGGAGTTTTTAGAGTGCGCAATATAACGGCAGTTGCGCCACCACAGACTGCGTGTCCCATTGGAGTCTCATCGTGTCATTTTTAAAAGTGTAAACTTTGTAAATCTTTGTGTTAGGCATCTCTTGTGATGGGTGCACAGGTGACTTGAAAGGTGCAGTAACCGTCATTGAGTTAAAATCTAGAGAATGGGTGTGTCAAAGGCTGACATAAACTTTGACTTGAGAGTGTTAAATGTACCGATTGTCACATTAAAAGCAACAAGCTTAGAGGCCAAGTTTTGTGTTGGTGAAGATTATCGCACATTGAAAGTTGATATTAATTCAGTTTCGTTCCTTTTGTGAGAAAAGAACTGCCAAAAGTAATGAGAAATCAATTTGCGTTAATAAAAATGAATTGGCCGTTGGGGAAAAACTGTAAGTGAAATTGAAAACAAAACGCCTTGCCTGCTTTTTAATTTATGCAAAAATAACAGATTAACGTGTTCTTTGTAATTGATTCCTATGAATCTTTATATGGGAATGAGTCAACCCGCCCTCCCCCACACACAAATAGATTTTGTCTACAACGTCAGCTTTGCTTCACCTTACCTGCAATGACTATCATCACTGTCCACTGTCGCTTTGATGTGCGCCCTCATGCGCCACTTCAGAGTTCAAAAAGTCCTCTTCGAAATAAAATAACAAGTAATCACACTACGTGTCCTTCTTAGCAGCCCTGGAGTCCGACTTGAGCTGAGTCTTCGAACATCTTAGCACCTTTCTGAGGCTTATAGAATCAGGCAATCACCGAACAGCTCTTGGCCGCTTTTCTAACTTTGCCTTTTACATTGGAGGAGAAATCGAGTAACGAGCACATGCAAAGATTGGGGTGCTTTTAAACCAAGAATTGATTCGGTTGTAATTTATCAGAGATTTTCATAGGAAACTTTAAATGAAAATTACTTACGACGGTGCAGTAATGAAAACCTCAGAGCAAATAACACAAGAGAATAAACAGCTGAATTCTTTGTTATGACTGCCAAAACGCAACCCAGTTTTCTTGACCTTTAAACCAATTCATAGGCGGTGGTTTGATTACAGTGATGGTTGTTTGGACCAAATTTGATTGCAAAGATGTATTTACAGATGGAGTTTTGTTCCCAAAAGAGTTACACTTAGATACAAAATAGCACTTTCATGTCATTTTGTTTGTTTATTTATTCACAGTAAATGGGAAAATCCCCTAAAAACAAAAATCACATTTTACAGTACGCATTTCGTTAGAGAAATTTGCTGCAAATTTACGCTAAATTTATCTACATGAAGCAAACTAATACATGGATATTGGAATACCTGGATTTTTAACCAATTTCTAATTACACAGGGTATATTACCGTAGACAAATTAGCATATGGACAGAATAACTGATAGAAATCAAAATTAAACCGCTGATACAACTGCAGAAACAGAACCAAGACATGAAATTATGATATCGTATGATTAGATATGCAATATTTTCAACAGCACCCCCCTTAAAACGTCGACAATGTCATCCCACCTATGTTGAAACTGATTTGGCGACCCCCTACGTTTCTCAAGGATAATAATAGCAGTACTTCCGTACTGCCGATGAAAAACTGCAGCTCCTGCAAGTATATAGTAATGATATAGTGGTACAGTGTATTTCAAACATTTATCGCTATAAACATGTTACAATAATGATATGGTATTTAGTAAACGGAGGAGTTATTTTTGTAAGAGAGTGAAGACATTTCATCAGACCAAACAGCCAGTCGTTTTCATTACATAGGAGCTGTAGCAAGAAATACGTACTTGTTAACGTCCTGTGAATTACCACGACTCCAGCAAATAAATCTATTATGGTTACATTTTGTATAATAACTGCTTTATAAAATGAAATCCAATAAAGTTCTGGCTACAAACAAGCAAGTGCAGGATATACTGTTGCTGAATGAGTTTAAAAAATTAAAGATTAAAAGAAATTTTATCAACACGTCTTTTCTTTACACTCAAGTTAAAGGAAAAGAAGCAAGAGCTATTGCTGTAAATGATACCTGTGCGCATCTCTTCCCACGATACATGTACGCTAAAATATGTGTTAAAACCAGTGTGTATAACACGGATAAACTCTATGGGTTCACGAGTATGCTTCCATATGTTTCATTGAACAGAATATGAAGCAAGATATGAGACAGAGAGAGACCTCCCCCCTTTGTGTTGGTCATTGTTTGACAGGAATCTCAGCAATTCTTTTTAGACATCGGGGGGGGATGTATTAGGTGACAATTTTCTAGAGTGTGTATAGGGATTGGACATGTCGGCGCCGGGGTTCCCCTCTGTCTCATTTTTGGCTGTGTATAAGAAATGGTGCTGACTATAGCCAACAGCTTACATCTAAAATTCACCTGCAGGTGGTTGCTTTCTATTGTTTGTGGAAATGAGAATCATGGAATTAGGGGACAATTCAGTCAAAGGTTTTGTTTTTGGTAGAGAGGGAAGGCATGGACCAGAATCTATGCCAAAAAAATAATGCACTTCGTTTCAAAGTTAATTTCTTAATTCCTAAAAGTCAGTCAACTTTTGAGACCTTGTCTTGTGACCAATGAACACTCTTGGTGTTAAATTAATTTTTTTCCCTGCCCGACGTGTATTTTTAACACTGTATACTCAGTGTATGCCCCCTGCACTAGTAAGCAGGAGGTCGTTGGTTCGAGTCCCACCTGAGTATGTTTGTGGGTTTTTCACAAACCTTCGGGGCATACACTGAATATACAGTGTTAAAAATACACGTCAGCCAGGGCCAAACATTTTTTTTTTAATTAAATTACATCTCCCCGGCGCAAATCCATCTTTAAAATAACTCTTGATGTTCAGAACAAATATACATACACAATGAGGGAATGTGTTGATGGCAGGCGTTTATCTGGATCTGATCTTACGCAGGCAGCTGGATGGCTCTGGGATCATGTGGTACCGGCACCGCAACATGTGACGGAACACCTCCTTGAAGTGTGGGTGCTTGGCCCCATAGATGATCGGGTTGATAGCGCTGTTGAAGATGATGATCATGCCGGTCCACGGGATTGCGGGATCGCTGGGTGGTATCGTGAGGGCGATAGCAAAGGGAGCCAGGCAGGCGATGAAGGCACAGACCACGTAGAAAAGGTTCTTGGTGATTTCCACCTGTCTCTTGCTGAAACTGGCCGGTCGGTTCTTGCTGAGTTTCTTCGTGCTGGAGGTTGAGGAGCCGGAAGACTCGGCCAACTCCTGACCTTGCCCACTCAACTTCTTCATGTGACCGGTGATGTGGCGGTAAATCTTGAAGTAGCAGACAAACAGGATGATCAGTGGAATGGGATACATGAGGACAGAGCCCAGCAAACTGAAGAGATCGCTCGTTTCGTGGGAGGTGTCTTGGGTGCAAGTCTTGTACTTTTCGGAATAACCCCACTTGCCGATTCCAAATAGAGGAAAGCAGCAGACTAGAGCCGGGTAACCCCAGGAGAAGACTAACATGGCAGCGATCTTCTTAGGAGTGTAGATCGACTGGTATGTCTTAGAAGACTTCGTGATGAGAATGAAGCGGTTGATTGCAATGAGAGCCAGGTTCATGATGCTACAGGCTAGGCTGACGTAGAACAGACCGGCCATGACAGCGCATACCGTCAGCGGTAAGGGCCAGCCGTTCATGCTGAACAGGGCCAACGCGGTGAACGGTGTAGTGCTACAAGTCACCAGGTCGGCCACAGCCAAGTTGACGACGAAGACGTTGGTGCGCGTCTGGAGCTTCCTGGACAAAATGACCGCCAGAATCACCATGAAGTTCCCCGAGAAGCCGACCACCGCCACGAGGCTGTAGATGCAGCCGATGATGATCCTCTGGACGGGGTCTTCAAAGCGAAAGTTTCGACCGTCACCTTGCGTCGTGGTTTCCATCACTACTGAAGTCATCATGTCTGAAGCGATGTCCCCCCCAGTCGCCTGAACTACTCCATCTGATACGAAATTTGTTGACAGCCAATCTACAGGCACGGTGCTAACGACTGTCATGTTCTCTGCCATCACTGTCGCCGTCATTTCGTTTGTGACTGCGTTGAAACTTCTCTTGTGACTGATTCGCGGTTCAGTAGGCTTTGTTCCAGTGACCGTTGAGGAGTGTTGGTGATTCAGTTCAACCGTCCGGGTTTGTTTTAAGTAACAACTTCTGCAAAGCAGGAACCGAAACCACATTTCAAAACCAACTGTAAAACCATTCCAAATATTTTTGGTTTATTCGACTACCTTCCGACTAGTCATTCGATCACAACCAATTTGTTCCAACCTGCAACTGAACTGTATTAAAGCAACCGGTTGATCCCATATTTTTTACATTTTTTTTCCTGGTATAGAGGGAATTCGTAGAGGACACGCACTCTTAAACCTGCGGGCCTTTTGCGACACTCGATGAGAAAAATGTCAAGGTTTTATAGGATGATTTCCAACAAGCGAGATTCCATTTGATTTAACTTTGCACTAAGGCGCAACAAGTGATCTAACTGGATCAATATTTTGAAGTGGCACTGAAGCAAGCGAACTGCGGCTTGTACATATTTCATATTCATTCAGTATTTCAAATTGACGGAGGGGACGACGGACAGAGACTCTTTTGGAGAACGTGCCTGCCTGTTCCCCTCCCCCACAACAATAGGGTTTTCGCACCAACTAGAAGTCAATGGCGTAGCCCAGCATCAGGCTCTTTTCGGGGGGGGGGGTGGCCGGAGCTAGACGGAGCAAGAGTTCCCCTGGGTGCGGGGCAGTTTCCTCTTGCCTTCTCCCTCTGGCTAAGTCAACGCCAGGAGAACTACCTAGTCGGAGGCCGACAAAGAGTTTTGTAGGACAAGGCATCATTACTAAGTATAATAAGTTCATGAAACTCACCAAATATTCGTCAGACTAGGACAATATGTCAGGCCAAGGCTCGTCCCCATTACGGGTTAACAGTCTGCTTGGTAGTTCGTGCAAGCTGATAGACCCTACGTGCTGACGCAAACTGCCGGTTCTTGTTCCTAACACTGTGGACTCCGAGACAAAGGACTTCTTTCGGCCATCATCTGGTAAAGACTACCAGTGCAGACTTCATTCGTTTCCTGAATATCTTTAGCGAATAATCAGATTGAGCCGCTACATTTCGTGGGAAAACCCCACGGCCACCCCTCACCGAAGCGCCTAACTTAAATGTGCACGGTAGTCAGTCACCGACCCCTAAGAGCATGACCTACATGGAACCAAATGTCCCGAGGAAGTGTAGCCTCGGACGTCCACTGTAATTTCCGCCCAAAATGCGGATGCTTGTAGGCCTATAGATTGTTGATGCCAAGTGTCAGAAAAAAATCACTTGATAAAATCAGAAATTACTCTCGTCTGTTTTTGGAAATTGTCTCACGGGTTTGTAGATCCGATGATGAAATTTTATTTTTTTTCAACAAAACGCCTGTCAGTTATTAAACAATCTATTGTCATATTCTGCGATAATGTTTGTTGTAGTAGTAGTTTTGATATTGTTCAATGTTTCAATGCGGTTGGTTTTGTTTATTGATCGTCAAACTGATTTCTGCATCAGTGATGAACACACATGATAACTAACTAAAACCTCATACATAATGTGTATTGCTGAATTTGAACACATTCCCTTCGGAAAAACTGACGACCAAATCGTTCTCTTTGAGTTCCAAGACAGGTCAGGAAAAGGGGTCAATGTTAATCAGGACATAGAAACAACGAGGTCAGGAGGCATGCAAGCGTGAAAACATCGTTAGCACATGCAGCACACCCGTGGCACGTACACCACTCGCCGGAATTGTCGTTAAAATAATTTGCTGGTCGTTTGTTGAGTTTTGAAAGGAATTGTTGTGGAGGATAAAGGTCATTGTGGATTATAAATGTCTAGAAACAGCCCATCTGGTTCTACTTTACATTCAGTAACACTTGTCTTTTCATCAGTACATGCTATTGGCTTGGAACATATTAAACTAACAAAATGATAGTAATTTTGTGATGACAACTTAAAAATATGGTCAACTGCCGGATGTGCAAAATTTTCTGTTGGAATGGAACTAGTCAAATTCTCATTTGATGGGGATTTATTGTTGGTGTGCATTTGCTGGGACATAGCATGGATTTAGACAAATTGAATATTTGCCTCTGAACTATGTGGAAAATAACAAGGCACCCGTCTTATTTGAAATTATGGCATGAAATATAGCCAGTACTGGTAATGCCTAAATTTTTGCTTGACGTCTGAGGTCGCTGTTGGTGTCACGTCAATCACTTTGCTTTAGACACTGAGAACATGTACACCAGTTTATTTATCATCTCACGGACTGTGCAGCATGCACGAAATCAAAGCCTCACGATGAGAATCGAAAGTAGCAAGAAACAAATTTTCAACTGTTACGTTTCTTCAGCAGCATGGGCGTCGCGCTGAGGGGAGGGAGTGCTTTCTCTCCGTGGGAGAGTGCTTTGGAAAGTTTGTTGAAGACGGGAAAAGAAATGAAAATGGGAATAAAAAGGGACGAAGGAAAGAGAATGAAAATGTAGAGTTTCATGAAACTGACTCCACTGAGGGTGATATGTCACTTTACGCCCGAAACCTAGCAATGTCCATACCCAGTTACTGTCACAATGAAACCTTACAATCATACAAATACAATCCTCAAAGGTAATCAAAAATAACCCTACAAGCATTGGTAGGCCTATATTGATCCCTAAAGAAATGTAAATTTGGATTTTTTTTAACGGCATCTTAAGTTATTTTTTAAACCTGATCTAAAAGTTGAATTCAATTAACACTGCGAGATTCTGTGATACAAGGAAAGTGGAAAAGTGTCACTTTTAATTTTAGAGTTTAAGAGTATGCCATAGAGCCTTTGGCTTGGTCATAGCCTGCTCCAGGTTTGAAATATCCTCTTACGGGGACCATGTTGTCTTGGAGTATTGTGTTCCGTGAAACATACTCACCAGAGGGAGGTCTCAAGGACTTCCTCTTGCCCTAATAATAACATCAAGAGAAAAATTGGCAAAGAACGTATTTTTAAATGGTCTAAGTTTTCGGCCTTCTCCATTACCTAGTTTCGATAGCTACAGTTTGGACTCCATACGCATTATCCTATTTCTGTTATCCTATTTCTTAGTCCTTTCGTTTGCAAATGTTCCAAATCTGGTTTTCTTTTGTACATGTATTCGGAGGTACTGTTTCCAAGGTACCGGTACTGCGAAATTCGGAGTATTGTGAACGTTTGAACCTGACGCTGGGACTTGACTAAAGGAGATGCCAGGGTTTATACCTTTTGTCCTGGCTGTCTATAAGACCTCTTTGAGGTCAGAGAAAAACATGGTTCTATTCATTAATGTGGATACGTTACGCCATGGTTTCGAAGCAATGAACTGTCTATTTTTTAAGTTGAAGTGGCATTGGATGGGGGCGGGGCCTACGGGGAAAAGTGTCAAATGTGCTATTTTAGGGATATGACCATTTTTCATGTTCTTATGTCATTATTTGAAAATAATGGTTATATTTAATGCTTGAAACCATCGTGGATTCCGGTTCCTTTCCAAAAAAATACTGAGTCAAAGTTCCTTTTTTTGCCACCGAGTTAGATGCTTGATGACATCGTCCAGCAAACATCGGATCATTTCTCTTCTCATATTTCTGCTTTTCAAAATCTTTCGTTTTGGATGGAAATATAGTCCCTGTATTGTTTCCTATACTGGTTATGGAAAATAGAACCAGAATCTGGTGTAAGCAGCTTTCTGTCTAACAATGGAGGAATATGATTTGTAGATTGGGACACAATTTCGAAGACATCACAAGGGATAGCACGCAAGAAGCCATCACATGCATTGGTGTTAGATATGAACTGCATGTTGAAGCAACGTAAGTCACCATGTTCCTCCCTTTACCGAAGACATTAACTCAACCTTCAAGGTTTCAAGGCAACTCAAGGCTTAGTGTTAATTGCCATTTGAGGTCGCTTTCATTAAACAGCTTTAAGCACTGATTTTGGTAAGCACATAGATACTGGCACTCACTTCGCAAAAATGGGTAATAATAGAGAAAAAGTGTCACTGTGTTTATAACCTGTGATCAGATCTTAGCTGACTTTTGCTTAAAATATAAGAACTAAGAGCGTTTTCTATTTGGCAGTTTATGCTATTAGACGTGTGGTTTTATCGAGGGCAGCCAATGTCAAGCATGTTTCTCTTTTGTAGTTATTTGAGTTCAAGTGATCATTTTGTCCCGAGGGTGGAACTCGGAAACATTTTGTAAGCGATGGGGAGAGCGAAAGTGATTTTCACTGTCTAAGGATGAATTTTGTCGGGAAAACCAAATCTTTGTCTTGTTCATTTTATTAACAGAATCACACATCTCACCGCTTTGGCTGCATAAAAGAACATAAAAGCTACTACCGTTTATTTTGATCAGACTGCAAGGTACATGTGCCTGTTATTTACTGTCTGCAGGAAAAACAGTCTCTTTCTGTGGTAAACATTTGTATTGTAAGTCACGGAATCATACAGCTCAAAGAGAGATCATGGCTACAATTATTGCCGACTTATCAGACGGCCTCTCAAGATGGTCCAAGTTTCCGCTTCGAAGACTACACACAGCGGTCAATCATAGCAACCATTGCCTGTGTTGTCTGCGTGGTCGGCATCGTGGGGAATGCCTTGGTTAACATGGCGGTTATTTTGTCCACGAAGCTGCAAACACGGACCAACGTCTTCGTCGTCAATTTGGCTGTAGCTGATCTGATCCTTTAAGCGCGGTGGCGCTGTTCAGCACAAGTGGTTGGACATTACCGTCTGTAATCTGCTCTCTCGCGGCTGCAATAGGCTATTCTTGCTTAGGCACCAGCACAATGACACTGGTAGCTATTTCCATCAACTGTTATGTTCTCATAACGAAGACGACTTCTTACCACTCCATCTAGACACCAAAGAGGCTAACCGGTGAGCTAGTCTTCACGTGGGCGTATCCCACACTCATCGCTTGTTTTCCCCTCGTGGGGGATGGTAAATGGGGGTATTCAGAGAAAAACAAAGCTTGCATCCAAGACGCGCGCGTCCCATGAAACAAGCTTACTTGGGTCACTGCTGTTGTACCCCACCCCTTCTAACCATTCTGTCGGTGTGCTATTCAAGATCTACCCCTTTATCACGGGGCATACGAAGAAAATGATGGGCAAAGGCAAAGAAATCGAAATGACACACACCTCTCAATCCTCCCACCTTCACCAGAACCCACAACCTAGCTTCAGTAAGCGACAGGTGGAAATCACCAAGAACCTGTTCTACGTGGTCTGTGCCTTCACCGCAAGCTTTGCTCCCTTTGCCATCACCGTCATGGTTCCACCCAGCAATCCCGTCGTTCCATGGACCAGTATATGATAGACGTCTTTAACGGCGGTATCAACTCGATCATCTACGGGGCCAAACACCCACACTTCAAGGAGGTGTTCCGTCACATGTTGCGGTGCCAGTATAACACGATTCTGGAGCCTTCTAGTTGTCTCCGTTAGATTAGATTTAGATAGATGACAAAATCATTTCCCCCAGTATTTTTTTATAAAAATGGCTCAAAACAGGATGGTAAGAGTCACAGCAAGTGAAAAGGGTTGTTGGTATGCCTCTAACCACATTGAAGTTAATGAGTATGATTGACGTAAAATGAAATTAATGAGGGTATATATTCCTCGCAATTAGGGTATTTTTAGTGAGTCCAGCTACCCGTATACACTTGGAATGCTGGAAAAGTCGTTTGAAAGCGAGTGTCGGTCAATTTTGGATTTATATATAGCTGCAATCGAGTCACAAACTATTCAGTTGTAGGCCACGTCATAAGCTGTTAAAATGAAATAAGACACGAAAGCATTCCTTTGCCATTATTTGTCCTATGATCGACTGGCATTTGACTGGACTTGTGATGGACCCCACGACAACCCTAACTTGGCACTAGGCGTATGTTTCGTTCCACACTTCGATTGCAGGTCAGGCTTTGGAACCGTGACCTGCCCTCGGCTATACCAAACTTGAACTGGATTTATACCAAAATAAGAACTGGAAGGTGGCGTTATAACAATGGTCTTTCCTCCTCCAAAGTCCAATAATTTCAGATCGACCACCTATTCCGTTTGCCTATTGCGAAACGATTTCCAGTCTTTCTGACACATCCAATGTCTTTCCGACTAGTAATTGGTAAGAATTATTTGACAGCATCGATGCATCAGCGTGGTAATTGACGAAAATAGCACTGACATCAACCTATTTCAACACAATACATTAAATCACCATAGCAGCATGGTGTGAATTCTCAAACCCAGCTAACAGTCGAATCTATGCAAGCG